TAAATTGACTGAAGATTTTTCACCTCTCCTTTAATGCTTTTAATTGATTACTTGGTTCAATAGAGATGTTCTCACCTGATTCAGATATGAGGGCTAGAATATTTTTAAAGTTTTAAGTGGAATGGGAGTGATTTATTTATGAATTCAATTGAACCCCTACTCTTAGGTGAATACACCCACAAAGAAAGGCAATTGTTTTAATGACAACCACTTTTCCTTTCTAGAATGGTTGGAACAGGATGGCCACTGAGCCTCTTCCTAGCATATATTAGTAATAATAATAGTTCACATTTATTCAATAAGGTTTGAAAAACATATGTCCATTATTGTCATTTGAACCTCATAAAAACTCTGTGACATAAGTGCCATTATTATTCCTATTTTACAAATGAAGAAACTGAGTCTCAGGTTAAATGACTTGTACGGGACTGCACAGCCAGTTAAGCATCTGAGGCAGCACTTACGCGTCCTTGACTCCAAGGCCAGCCCTCTCTCTGTTCTCTATAACCCAATGTATTCTTGCTTAGATAGCATGGTCTGAGTGATTCTCATTGTTGCAAGAATGATGAAGACCAGGGCTCATATACGTCTGCTTTTATCAAAATGAAAACACTGCCATCCTTTCAGAAAAGGAGAACCTTAAAAAACTGAATTAATCAGATAATTGTCCACATAGCCATCCGGTGCATGGATGAGGATGTGTATACACTTATCTAAGTGAAGAAAGAGGGTACCATTCTTTGAATAGACTCTATGGGACCTCTCTATAGGGACTAGTTTATGATTGATGCAGACAGATTGCCTTCTGCAGCTGGGAGAACTGTGAATGCCCCTGTTTTCTTCACCCTCAGGAGACATTTTGTCGTACATCTGTTTACTTACTCTTTTCCAGCATATGTGATCAACTCCACCATTTCTCAAATCAATCAATCAAAAACATTAATCAAATGCTTGCTATGTGCCTAGCACTGTGCTAGAAAGGCAAAAACAATCCTACCCTCAAAGGGGCTTACATTCTAATGGTGAAGACAACATATAAATAACAGGATATATACAAGGTAGATGGATAGTAAGGTGGCACCGAAGATAGAACTCCAGGCCTGGAGTTAGGAAGACTCTTCATGAGTTCAACTCTGACCTCAGACACTTACTGGCTGTGTGACCCTGGGCTAGTCACTTAGCCTTTTTTGTCTTAGTTTCCTCATCTGTTAAAATGAGCTGGAGAAGAAAGTGGCAAACCACTCCAGTATCTTTTCCAAGAAAACCCCAAATGGGTTCACAAAAAACTGGATATGACTGAAAACCAACTAAACAACAATGATAAGATAGATGCAAGGTAATCTCAGAGATGAAGGCACTAGCAGCTGAGGAGACTGGGAAAGAGCCCCTGAACAAGGTGGAATTGGAGTTGTACTGAAGCACGCAAGGGAGACCAAGAGGCAGGGTTGAAGGCGCAAGCATTCCAGCAGGCATGGGGGACAACTTCCTCCTGGCCTAATTAGGCACTTATGACAAAAATCCGACATGTATATTTTGCCTTCATTCACATTGCCATATTTTGGAAAAAGTAGAACAAATGAGGATCCTTAGCTCCTAATCCCAGGCAGCCTACAGCTGCTCTGTGATTTACTTTTTTGGTCCTTTTTTCATCTTGCAGTCAGTGTTGGGTAACTGGGAGTCAGGTTGCCACTAGGAAAGAGTGACTGCTCTGACATTTGGCTTTCCTTAGCTTCTCTACCTGGAACTCTGAATGACCCTGCTGCAACTGGGAAAGATGTTTAGGGAAATCAGCTCGCCCTTATTCTCTGAAGAGTTGCTTTTGTGAAAGAAGATTCTGAAGGCAGAGCATCTGTTCACTGTAGAACTGATATTAGTTTTTCAGATGTTTCTTTCAGGATGACATTTGGAGAAGTGGAAAAAGAGTCAAGGGTTGTTTTTACATCTTTTTTTTTTTTTTTCCGCTGAGAATGAATGCTGTCCTCGTAACTGGCTGAAAGGAAGTCAGCGTGGCATGGTGGGTAGAGAGAGGGGTTCAGACTCAGGAAGACCTGATCGTGTTCCTGACATATACTAGCTATATGACCAGGGGAAAGTCACTTAACCTCGTAACAGACAAGAAGAACTTTAAAATTTTAAGTTACAGATGAGTGGTTGATCTGCGTCAGCGGAGAGAGATTCCATACGGGAGTTCCCTCTATTATTCCAATGGATTTATGATTTCATTTCTTGTGGATATTCCCTCCAATAATGCAGATTGCAGTAGTACTTGCCTGCCCATCGTATGTGACTATTGTTCATGCCCTCCCATAAATTCACTGCAGGAGGTGTCACCCAATGTACTATGAGGTCTTGCTTGGTTATGAGTTAAAGCACTTGGACCGTACACCTCTCATCTGTCGTTCTTGGTAGCTGTCCAGTTCATCGTTTTCCCTCCTCCTAGCTGGGCATTTCTTTGATGATTTCCTTTACCCTGCTTCTCCTGGGCATTTTCTCACCTGTGAAATGCGACTTCCTGTTTGTGCCCACCATGCACCTGTCCCTTGCCTCCAGGGTGATCCACGGCTTCAATTCTTTGGGCACCATGGTGTCCTATGACTTACAACCCTATAAAAGCACTGTAAGAACATCGACATTAAAAAGATGGACCTTTGTTTCAAGGAGAAGCTTGGGGTCATGGAAAGAACTTTGCAATTTCCCAAAGGCAATCTATGAAATCAATGAAATCAAAGGTCTGGACTGAAAAATTAAAAAGAAAAAAAAGATGTTAGTGGAAGCAATGGTAAAGCTGTAGATCATATTTTTTGTTTGCTTTTATATGTCAAAGACTCTGTAGAGCATTTCAGGGGTAGGATAACTGTATCCACAGGACACCAAATACGTTGTTGTACTATTTTTTTTTTAGAGGCTGGTTTCAACACTGAACTTTACTATAACCAGCTCATCTTGTAGGGCTATGTGCTCAATTTGCATTGAGGCTTTGTCTACACATCAGACAACTGCAAACTGAAGAAACATGACTTGATTATCTGAATAGATTGCAATTGTCTGACACCATAAGCTCATATCATATCCTTAGAGCTAGAAAAGACTAGAGGCCATCAAGTTTGACCTACCCATTTTCCAGGTAAGAACACTGAGGCTGAGGGAGAAGTCACCTGCCTAAAGTCAGAAGGCTAGTAAGTGGCAGAGAAAGGATTTGAACCTAGGTCTTCCTGACTCCAAGTCCAGCACTATATCCCTTACCTAGAGGTAGATACATTCTTGCCAGATTCATTCTTCTGTCACCGGAATACAACTATGACGAATGTTGGGACAACTGGGGCTTTGTCCCAGGGAGCTGAATTCTGAGGGTATTGACTCCACTTACAATCTTTCAGCAGCATGGAAACAACAGAGCTCAGAACCTGGATGACAATGAGAGCAATAGCCAATAATTTATGGAATGCTTGAAGGTTTACATAATGCTTTTCCTATATTATCTCATTTGATTCTCCCAAGTCCCAGCTAAAATCCCACCTTCCACAAGTAGCTGTTCCAGATCCCTCTTAATTCTAGTACCTTTCCTCTATTGATGCAGTCCAATTTATCCTATGTTTAACTCGTTTGTATGCAGTTTGCTTCCTGATTAGATTGTAGGCTCCTTGAGGGCAGGGACTGCCGTTTGCCTTTCTTTGTACCCTCAGTGTCACTTAGTGAATGTTTATTGACTAACCAAGAAAAAATAGGAAGCTTCCAAATGACAGACTGGCATGAAATGCCTCCTTTTTTATGCTTTCTTTCTCCAATCTGTGTTTTAAGCTGAAACACAAAAAAGTTTAAAAGGGTCTGTTGTATTTCCCCAGGCACAACTTTCCTAGTTTTATCTCTATGTGGCTAAGTGGAACAATATGGGCATTGTCTATGTTCATTCTAACCTTTGGACCCCTTCATTTCTGATTAGTCTAAAAACTGATTTATCTTCTGTCTTTATTAGAATTAAAGAACCTTTGAGTTGGAATGAGAGGCAACAGTGGATAAGGAGTATGGTTCAGACTCCTCTTCAGATACTAGCTGTGACCCCGGGCAAGCCATTTAATCTTTCTCACCCTCAGTTTCCTTGTCTTTAAAAAGTGAGGGAGTTAGACCTGATCAATCAACATTTATTAAGCACCTACTATGTGCCAGGCACTGGGGATACAAAAAGAGGCAAAAGGCAGTCCCTGCCCTCAAGGAGCTTACAATCTAATGGGGAAGACCACATGCTGATAAATACAAAGCAAATCTTTAATGTCCCTTCCAATGTTAAATTTATGATCTTAGGATCCTATGGCCACAGTGGTCACCTAGTCCTACTTGTACTTGTAAATGAACATGCATGGTATACCTTATAAGTGACCATATACAGCTTTCTCTCTCTCTCTATGTAGATATGCACACACACATATATCTATATCTATATCTATCTATATCTATATCTATATCTATATCTATATCTATATCTATATCTATATCTATATCTATGTCTATGTCTATGTCTATGTCTATGTCTATGTCTATGTCTATGTCTATGTCTATATCTATATCTATATCTATATCTATATCTACATCTACATCTACATCTACATCTACATCTACATCTACATCTACATCTACATCTACATCTATATATCTATATCTATATCTATATATAGTATATAGGTATATATTTCTATACATACACGCACATATGTGTCTATGTGTGTGTGTATTTCTTCTCTTCACCCAAAGTTTTCTTGAAGACCTCTGGTGAGTTAGGACCCACCATCTCCAAAGGCATCCCAGTCTACTTTCAGACAGCTCTAATTGTTAGTAAATTTTTCCTGACATCCAGCCTAAACTTGCCTCTCTGCCACTTCCCCTGCCATGACCGATAGTGCTGTGCTCTGGGACCATGCAGAAGAAAACTAATCCTTCTTCCATGTGATAGCCCTTCAAGTACCTGAAGACAGCTGCCCTAATGATGTGTTTTTTTTTTTTGTAAGGGTTCGAGGTGTTAGCATCCGCTTCTCATTACTGGCCACTGGACACCGTGGATGGAATTCATGAGCTTCAGGATACAACAGGAGGTAGACTCAGGGGATCACAGGGGGGCCTTGGCAATGGACGTAAACCTAAGAATGTGTCACTGTCAATAAATTAAAAGGGAACAGGGCAAACAGAAGTGAATGGTATTTGCTTTGAAGCCATGGTAGTAGGAATGGATTTGCCAACAAATATTTTGGCATATCTCCGCTTCTCCACTCTTCCCCCCTCCCCCCATAATTTTGCATTTCACAGACATTTTAATAGCATTTTCAGACATTTTATGACCCAAAGACTAAGAGTTTCAAGTACTTCAGAATCTCATTAAAATAATTCTTTGCCTGCAGCCACACACACAAACAGCTGTCCAAGATTTCACATTGATGTCTCCATTGAAAAGCCCTGTCTTATATTTCCTTATTTAGGCAGAAGTATCTTATTGGAGGTGTCTGCCCAAATGGAGACTAAACAATTGCATTGCCAAAGCACTGGCCACATTATTAAGTTCACTGATGTCTCAAATAACTGGCCACAAGTCCTTGTCAGGTGTTCTTTGTCAACCAGGGAAGCTGTTTCCCCACCAACCAATTCCCTTCTTCAGCCCTGAAATAAAAGATTTCTGTCCTTTCTCCCTTACCCCTACCCTAATCCCTTCCAAGGTGTGAAGTGTGCCAAAGTTATTGGTCATAGCTTTATTTGGATATTGTAAAAAAGGATTAAAATTTAATTTAAAATATTAAAAATTCACTCTCACTCTGTTCCAGAAAGCCCAACATTACTCTGATTTTTTTCCCTCCTGTTTTATAAGGGTAGTTTTGAATAGAAAGCATTTTTTGATGTGCTATTCTTTTTTGGAATAAAATTCATTGACAGTTTCCTCATAAATGCATTAAACATTTGGGCTACTGTGCAAACCAAGGATTGAATTGTATGTCTGCCTTGACTTTCTGACAGACTTGATCTCTTTCTAGTGAAATGGATTTTTTCTTGCTTTTTTTTTTTTTGGTTGGAGGTGGGGAGGCACAATATTGCTGAATCCTGAGTTTTCTACACTAGCAAACTTCCATTTTCTCCAGGTGTGCTATTTTGTTCCATTTAAAATTTCTGAATCTTCCTTTCCAGTTCAGCTAGCATGTTAAAAATCTCCTTCCCAGAACCTGCAGAGAAGGGAGTGCAGCTGAGTTTGGCTCTGTTAATCCTAGTGTTAGTAGCTGGAAGAGGGACTTTAGTGGAGAATATGGCAGAATGAACCATAATGGTCACTTCCCCATGACGATTTTCTCCACATTACCTACTTAGAAGGCAGTAATGAAGGTCCTGCTTGAAAAACCATCAAGTGACTTCATGTCTTTGGCCGTGGCATTTCTCCAAAATATTTCGCATTGTAGAAATAAAAAAGGTCTCCCTGGACTTTGTGGTATGTGGCCAGCTCAGGTCACAGTAAACGATTCCCCATCTTACATTCTATTTTTCTTTAAATGGTCTCATTAAGGAGCCCAGAGGGAAAATGTCACATAAAATTGAAAGACATTATTGAAACAATCCTTTGTCCATCACACAGTAGCAGAAGATATTTCAAACAGATATGTAAATATTGTTGGGTATATGGTTTCCTCCCCATCCCACCCTTACTTCATTAAATCAGCCTGCAAAATTTGACTCTTTTTTGAGTCCTAAATGTGCCTTTATAACATGGCTTATTACACAGATTTTGTATTTATTTGTATTTATTCTCTGGCTAAATTACATCCCCTCTGTCCAAACACATCAATTACATAGTAAAACTTGACCTAACATAATTGATCCATAATGTGGATGTCAGGACTGTAATGCCTAGGTCATGAACAATTTTTCTGCATTTTTTGGAGGGGGGAGGGGGAAACCTAATTTTTCAAGTGGCCATTACTTTCCATAATCCTGTTGTGTTAGAATACTTCAGCTTCCTCACAAGTCCTTGAAGCAGAGAAGTCCTAATCCATCACTGTGTTTTGCTGTAGGGAGGATGTCAGTCGGCTGAAAACCATGCTGTAAGCATGCAGAAAGCTCTGTTTTTTGTTGTGGTTGAAGTCTCTTGTTTTGTCCATTTGTCATAATATCATGTGAATGTTTTCATCCCATATTTCTGTTCCATAAGTCATCATAACATCATGATTACCTAATTCTTTTTTTAAGCCATTGTGTTGCTGAATTTAGTTTCATACCTCTCAACTATTTAATCTTGGGGGAGCCAGTGCCAACAAATTGCATCCCCTTCCTCATAACACCAGCTGTTATTGACGAATCCAGGAACAAGAATAGCCTGGCTTTGGAAATGGATTTGTCATAGTGTTATTGATGATGATTATACATTGTTGGTGTTACTGATAATGTTCTTTGTCCATTTCCCCAAGAATAAATAAAGGGGGGGGTGATGGAAATAGTGGTGGGGATGGGGTATTTGGGAAGAAAATGGCCCCCATTTTTTCAAGGGAAAAGACTGCTCCCCAATATGTTTGTTCCTTGCTATGTTGAGAGATATGGTTGATTCTGTTTGATTCTGTGTTTGACTCATCTGTTCTGCCTTTTTTTTGTTGTCTCACCCAGCATTAAGAAACCACAACTTCACTGTGCTTACCTCCCATAATTCTACCTTTGTATATACCAATGACTCTGCCTACTCTAACTTCTCTGCAACCGTAGGTGAGGACTTCAATATTTTTGTGCTGCATTTGTCGAGCTTGGACGGCGATTTATTTGAAGGCCAATCTGATTTCTGATTTGAATTCAGTTACCCCCTTCTAGGATATTGGGGGAGTAAATGTCCCAGGGAATAGTAAACACCTACAAGGAGCACTGCAGAAAGTAAGAATGAGAAATTTCAAATTAGGATCAAAATTATTTGAACTGTTGGCACCTAAAACAGGGGTTCTTACCCTTGTTTTTGGTCATGAACTCCTTTGACAGTCTGGTGAAACCTATGGGCCCCTCCTTAGAAGCATGTTTCTAAATAGTTGAAGGAAATGATAAATTTCAGTTTCAGGTTGGTGAAAATAAAGATGTGATTTTTCCCCTCCCCCATCTATGTTCATAGACCCCATGAAATCTCAGACACAGGACCCTTGGGGGAATCTGTGAACTCTAAGTAAAGAAGCCCTGCTGTAGCGCATCAAGGAGGATGTAAATTATCTTCTGTTAAGTCAACAAGCATTTATTAAGAACCTACTGTGTGCCAGGCACTGTGCTAAGTACTGGGGCTTCCAAAAAAAAGGGGCAAAAGACAGTTTGCCTTCAAGGAGCTAACAGTCTAGTAGGTGAATTCCACATGTAAGCAGCTATAAGCAAACATGATATCTAGAGGGTAGAGTGGAGATGATTGCAGAGGGAAGATAATCCTGAATGATTGCAGATCAGGAAAGGCTTCTTTTAGAAGGTGAGATTTTAGCTGAGACTTGAAGAAAGCCAGAGAAACCAGGAGATGGAGGTAAGGAGGGAGAGGGCTCCGGGTCTGGGGAAAGCCGGAGAAAATGCCCAGAGCTGTTGTGAGGTGGAGTATAGCAAGGAGGCCATCGTCACTGGACAGTAAGAGGTGGTATGTATAAGAAGACTGGAATGTTGAGGGGAGAGCGCAGGTGATGAAGGGCGGTAAAAGTCAAACAGAGGATTTTATACTTGATCCTGGAGGTGATAATAAACACTTGTTGACTTGACTTCAGAGTTATGGTGCCAAAGGGGGTCTCAAGATTCTCCCCGAGTGGCTTGTTTTCCAATGAAAGTAATAGAAAACAAAACAAAAGCAAAAACCAGATACGAGATCAGTTTTTTTTTTTTGTAAATATGAATGCGCCCAAGTCCTCTCCATAGTCCATATATTTTAGAGGTTAAAAATTGTGCTTTTTCATTTCATTGCAAATCTGTATTGTGATAGGTTCCTATAAATCCATCACATGTAGTTAAGACTAAATGAGATATCAGTAAAGTGCTTTGGGAAGCTCAAAGGATTACACAAATGTCAGAGGTTATTATTACTATTATTATCATTATTAAGCAGCAGCAGCAGCAGCAGCAGCAACAACAACAATAATAACCATAAATAGAAGTTTTCTAAATTGACCTCATGCAAATGTTAAACCGTCCTTGCTTCTGGACCTGGAATCCTGTTGAAATTCCCAGAAGTAGGTCTTTAAAACATTTTCTTCCTGGATCCTGGTAACATTAATGAATATTTTTTAAAAAAGTCCCTTCCCTTAAGGAACCCTCTTAAACTAGATCATGAAATGATCAGGATGCCATATTGCTTAGTAGATAGGGTACTGTACTTAGAGTCAGAAAGACCTGGCTTCAAATCCTACCTCAGATAGTTACTGGCTGTGTGACTTTCTCTGTGCCTCAGCTTCTTCTTTTATAAAAGGAGGTGACTGGATTCAAAGGACTTCTAAGATCCCATCCACCTCAAATCTATGATCCTATGGTCTCAATGCATTTCAGGATCCAGAATAATCTGGTTGGGTTGTCAACGTGGTCTAGATTGACTGGGAAAATTACTTTCTAGGTCTCCCCTTTACTTTGTACTATGTAGATTCTCTACCTTTCCCCTTCCCCTCAGAAAAATAAAAAAAAGTCCTCCCATGAAAAAGAATAAGTTGAATGGATTATGTATGATGATCAATTAGCAGATGCCTTTAGTGTCAATCATTGTCCTGCCTCTGATGGTTGGAGAAAACTGGTGAGTTGAATCAGGTGATGACAATGATGATGATGATGATGATGATGATGATGATGATGGTGATGGAGAGGGAGGCTTAGATAGGCCATCATGTGGGATGATCAAATGATAGGAATGGGTCTGTCTAGGTCAGTGGCCATGTAGTTGTGCAGCTTACAGGATACAGGTGTGTTGACAATTAGGCAACTATAAACTTTGAATGACACCCAATTTTTATAGTCTTCTCTTATCTCCTCCATAAATCATTTGTACCAGGCCCCCATTGTCAGTTATAGTAATATGGGCTCTGGGAATCAAACTGAATTAGATTGGCTTTATAAGGACAACGGGAAGTATGAAACAGGAAGACTGAAACCGTTTAGATTAGTAATTGGCTGGCTTATTGAGTCATGGTTTATATAAGTCCTCCTTGAGTGGATTTTATTTTTAAAAAAGATTATTTCAAAATTTGGGAATTGGGGTCCCTAATTAGAGCCCAGAAGGAGATGGAGTTTAGGATTAATAATTTTAAATTCTAGTTTGAACCTAAATATTACCCTTGTAAAATTAAGTAAAATGGGAAGGTGGGAAAAGGAAGGCCCTAAAGTAATTTCTTTAGCAATACAGCATAGATAAGGCTCAGGTCAGTGGCTCAAATCTCCCCTAGGAGCTCAGGGAATAGCCACTAGTGAGAAATACCATCAAAAACACGTTAGTTACTTACATACCTGACTCATGTCCTAAGAAGGTTTTTACATCACAGGATGACTAAAGGATGATTTTGTCATTTTCTCCTTACCTAGACATTGTAGAAGGGAAAGTCAGTAAAGGCATTTACCTCCGAGAGAAGAGAGGAGGGACGTTACTGTATTACAAAGCCTCTTGCATTAGTAACCCAACCCTGTGTGACCCTGAAGGTAAGTGATGGAATCCATTCTTATGTTTGGAAAATGGGACTCTCGGGTCCCTTCTGACTCTAACTTTCATTCATTAAACACACAGTTATTAAGGGTACTATGTTGATATTGGAGATACAAGGAGCAACATGAAATAAAAGTATGACACATTCTACTGGATAGGGGCTGGTGGAAGGCAGGGGGAAGGAGAACAATTCATGCACACACAAATCAACACAAAATGCAAAGTAATGCTAGCATTAAGGTTTGCAAAGTGCTTTACCTGCTAACTCATTTGGTCCTCATAATAACCCTGAGAGATAGGTGCTATTGTTATCCTCACTTTACAGAAGAGGAAACTGAGGCTGAGAGAGGTTAAAGGATTTCTCAGGGTCACATAACTGGTAAGTGTCTGAGGCAGGATTTGAACTCAGGTCTTCCTGACTCTGAGTCCAGTATTGTGCTACTGAGATGGGGATGGGGGGGGGGAATGAATCACCAGAGGGGAACAGAAAAAGTCTTTTGTAAGAAATAACTGAGCCTTGAAGTGAGCTAGGAATGGTCAGAGACAAAAGTTAAGGAGAATATTCTATTTATGGGGTGAACAAAGGTCTGGAGATGGAACGTGAATGTCACATATAGCGAACAGTAAATAATTCAGTTTGCATGTAGAGTGAATGATTGGGAGTAATGAATTTGGTTTGGAGTTTGAATTGCCCAGAGGCCATCTGGTTAGAAATGTCTACCAGCCAGTTAGTGATTTGGCTCTCAGGAGAAAGGCTGGAACTGGACACACAATTCTAGGAGTCATCTGCAGAGAGGTCACATTTGAGCCTGTTGTAACTGAGGCCGAGTGAGTGGGTTTATAAAGTGAAGAGGGCTTAGGACCAACACTTGGGAAATGCCCACAGTTAACAGACAGGACAAGGAAGACTGAGAGGGAGCAGCCAGAGAAGTAGGAAGAGATCAAAGGAAAGCAGTAGTGTGAACTTCCAGGGAGGACCGAGTAAGGATCCAGGAGAAGGGGAGAAGGGGAATGGTCAGCACTTTTGGTGGGGCATTCAAAAAGGGTGATGATTGAGAAAAAGTCATCGGATTTAGGAACAAACATAGAAGGCTTTTTCTAGGCATTTGACTACAAAAGGGAGGAGATATATAAGATGATAGCTTAAAGGGATGGAAGAGTTAAGTGAAGGATTTTTAAAGACAGGAGAGACAGCACACACACATACATATATACACATACGTACACATATAAATATTTATGTATATGTGTGTGTGTTTTAAAGTGGCAAAGAAGGAACCAGTAAATAGGGAGAGAATAAAGCTTTGTGTGTGTGTGTGTGTGTGTGAGAGAGAGAGAGAGAGAGGGAGAATGGAATAAGATCAATGTCACAAATACAGAGGCTGACCCTGAAGAAAAGGACTACTTCATCAGAGACTAAAGCAAAGGAGGAAAGAATGCATAATGACATAAATGGATTTTTGAGGTTACAGGATCATGAATTTAGAACTGGAAGGGACCTTACAGGTCAGATAAAGAGAGTAGAATAGGAGAGAGGGAGCTCTTGTTAATGTTGGACTATGTAACTTGGAGTTGATTCTTTTTTAAAAAGCAGGTCCTCTTCCTTAATTGTGTTGAGCTTAGGATGTAGCAAACTTAGTTTGCATCTCCTTATGTCTCCAATCTGTAGTGGACATAGATGGCTCATAGTATGGCTGTGATTAAAAACAAGGCAAAAAGCATTAGCTCATGAATAATCCACAAAGTGAATAATTGAGAATTACTCTTTTCTTCAGAAAAGAAATAAAGCTTCTGGTACTTAGATTCTGGGAGGAGGGGAAGACATGACACGCCAAATTGAAAACCCAGTGGAGAATTGTTCTTCCACCTTTGAGCCAAGCTCCCTCCTTCTGTCTATTTAATTTTGGCTTGAAACAACTTCCTATATCTAGGAAAAAGGGTTTTAAAGAAAGCCTTCCACGAAGGCTCCAAAGGCTTTTTGGCGATCACGTGGTTTTATCAAAACAACATGGTGATTAGTTAATTGTAAATGATTCAGAGAGACATATGGATTACATTTCAATCCAAATAAACAAAAGCTTTCTAATTCAGCAGGAAAGTACTTGAGAAAACATGTTTTGGGCTTTGATGAAACCAAAAAGCTTTGGAAAACTGTTTTGAAGGCCCAAAAACATGGCCAGGTTTACACTTGCCTGATTCAAACTGTTCCTGAGTTTAAAAAAACATTATAAACAAGCTTTGCTTGTCTGTGTCTCTAAGTTAAAAACAAATCAGAGGTCAGAGGATGATTGGATCACAGATTTGGAGATGGAAGGCATCTTAGGGGTCATTGAGATGGGCACCTTCATTTTACAGATGAAGATACTGAGGCTGAAAATGGTGGTAACATCAAGGGAGTATAAATCTTGAGCTCATTGGCGTCCAAGAGATCCTCTTTCCTCTTTACAGAGGAGGAAACGGAGACCGAAAGACATTAAGAAACTTACCCAATGTCATATAGTTAATGAGTATTAGAGCTGAGGATTCAGAGAGGATGGATTGGAGACATGGACGCAAATGCTGCCTAGTGTGCAAAGAGTCAGACTGATGTTTTCTGTACTTCTAGCTTAGGGAGGTCAGAGAGGCCTCTGAAACTAGGGCTTTTATCATATGAATGGCCCCTTCTTGGGCAAAGAGAGAGTCTACTGTAGCCAGTGTTCCCAGGGAAACATGAAGGATTATGGGGTCATGCAATCATAATCACAACATGTCAGAGTTGGAAGGGACCTCAGTTGACCATCTAGTCTAACCTGTGTTGTTGCTCTTTGGTCATTTCAGTTGTGTCTGACTCTTTGTGACTCCATTGGGGATTTTCTTAGCAAAGATACTGGAGTGGTTTGCTATTTTCTTTTCCAAGGTCAACAGAGTGAGGTGACTTGCATAGGGTCACACAGCTAGTAAAGGTCTGAAGCCAGATTTGAACTCAGGTCTTCCTGATTCCAGGTCTGATGCTTTACCCACTGCACCACCTAGCTGTCCTAGTCTAGCAAGAATCCCCTTTAGTTGCAGCGAGAGACAATGATATAAAAGTGCTTAAGGATCTTCAAAGCAAGGTACTTTTGTATATAGTCTTTCACTGAACTTTTACAGCAACTTAATGAGATTAGTGTGACAGTTATGGTCTTCATTTCTACATATGAAGAAATTGGAACTGAGAGGGGTTGAGAGACTTGTGCAAGGCTACGTAGCTAGTGTCTTAGGTGGCATTTGAAGCCTCTGCCTAGAGACTTCTAGTGAAGGGGAAACCGTGCATGTTTCCCCTTTCCTGTTTGATGGTAGGCTTCTTGAGGACAGGAACTATTTTTGATTTTTCTTTGTGTAACCAGGACTTAGCCCAATGTCGGGCACATAGTTAACCCTTAATACATGTTTGTTGATTGTTTGATGAAGGGAGTTGCCCAAAGTCACAAAGGTAGCAAGTAATACAACCTGGATGAGAAGTAGGACCTCTGACCCCAAATCAAGAATACTTTTTGGCATGACCTGGTACATAAGTCAGGATGGTTTTGTATTTGATTTTGGTAGTTAGCTGGAGGCATGCCCAATGCTAGAGAAACAGCCCTAACATGAGCTCAGACCCCTAAGGATTACTGTGCCCTTCCCACCCTTTTCTATAGACTAACTTTTCATAAGACCCACGAACTGGGGTGGTTTAGGGTGAAGGAAGCCATTCTTTAATTAGTCCCTGCAGTTCAAATCTTCTCTCACCTAAGAGTCACGAGTTTTACTCCCTGTTTATGAAAAGTAAAAGCTGTAAGAGAAAATACCCTCTAGAAAACATTTCTCCTCTAAGAGCTAGGAGAACTTCCAGTCTTTGTGACAGAAATGCTATGTACATCTGAAAGAGAATTTAGGGTTTCAAATGAGCCATTCTCTCATTATTCCATCTCAACCACCAAATCCCAGGTGTCTACTTTTGTATCCAAGGACAGGGAATTATCTTTGGGATGGGAAGATGACACCATTTCTTTATTCTTCTTTCTTTTTTTTTTTTTTGGTAATTGTCCTTTGGTCTTTTTATTCCCCCAAAGTTTTGCTCTACTGAGAGCTCAAACAACATTTTCCCCTTGAGTGGTGCTAGCCTTCATCTGGAAACCCCAGTGGATTCCCAGTGAAATCCAATCTGTATGTCCCTGGTTCATTTACACTTAACTCATCAAAATGGTGGTACCAGTGTAAGGCAGAGGTATCTACAGCACTGAATGAAAGAATCAGATTAATGTAATTGGGAAATATTTAACAAAATAAACACAAATACAATAGAACATAGATAATGTTAATATGTGATTTTCTAAGTCTATATGTGGCAGGTAGGGATCCTGATGAATGATTAAGTGGCCTCCATTTCTATTTGAGTTTGACACTATTGGTATAAGGCATATTAGATGCCCGAGGTGATCATTTTGAAGTTTTTTAAAAACATGGATGGAGGTGGGCTTTCAAATACACTGTCCACCTAAGCTTTAGAGTTCAGCTCCAAATTTGATCTTGGTCAATCCACTTTTTCTAATCTCAAATCTCCCCTGGATAGATTTTTACTTACACTTAGGTATAAATTGGGTGCTCTTGGGTAAAATATAATTCAGTTAGCTCCTGAGCTAATGGAGCAGACCACACCTGTCTTCTATACTAATGTGTGTCCTCCTTCTGATTGGCCTGACAGTACATCATTTGGACCTCCCCTGTTAAATAAGACAACCTTGATTGGTGGACATTTTAATGAGGAGGTGGGCTAAGAGCTCTCAGTTCTTCCCTGTTACTCCATTGTTGGGAGGGGGGGCAGAAAAGAACATCCCTGGGGAGGGTGTTAGCTCAAAGTGGTTTCTAATTATGGCGTAAGCAGAGGTAAGGGGGGCCCCACCCAAATTAGGGAGCAGATGCCTTGGGGAGTGGCTGGGAGCAATGACTTTATTCTATAATGACCTTCAGAAGAGGACTGTCAGAGGTTGGAGTCTGAGGAAATGGATGGATTCACATGATAAATAATACAATCCAACATTACTTTTCCTCAGGTCCCTTTCAGTCCTAAATCTTGTATCCTATGAACCTATCAGAAATTGAAGTCTATTAGCTTAGTGTTCAAGAAACAATGGCCAATTCTTCACCATGATGGGGTATCAGAGGAGGACTAAACTGGATGTAGTTCAACCAGGGACTTCCTTTTCAGAGATGGAAATGTATGGGTTTTTCTGCTTAAAAAAAGTAGACTCTCTGCTTTCTGACTTACATTAACTGTATTTTGTCTTGAATTTTTTACTTTAATGGAGACATTTGTTGAATCTGATTCTCCCGTTTGTGCAGAGAAAGGTGCTAATGCCAATGATACAAAGTATGGGTTTTTTTTTTGCTTCCCTCCCATCTTCCATCCCGTTATTTATTTCCTTTCCCCCTTTGCCTCTTTGTTGGCTGCCTACACTCCTGACAGTTAGCTGCCTCAACTAGAAAGGGCCCAACAAAGTGATTTCCATTATAGTGTTAGTTGATAAAATCCTAAGGTTACTTACATTACTCTTTTTAGGGGCATTTGAATTTTAATAGTAGACTCTTGAAAGTTGAAAAAGCCTTTGGACTTAAATATATGTATGATGCAGTTGAATGATTGCTGGAATATGAGTCCGGTTCAATTCTGGAATCCATACACAAGGCAGCTATGTGACCTTGAACCCCACACCCAACCCATTTCTTCCCCCATTTCCTTATTTTAAGGCAAAGGAGCTGGACTAGATTATGCCATATTATCCCTCTATCTAGCTGTTCTCAGACCCTGTTTCTTCCTGCTGGCCATTTTCCATTCTCCCTCTTCCACTCCTGATTCCAAGTGCATTGCTGTATTCACTATGCCACACTTCTTCTAGAAAGGAAGGAAGCATAGGATGAATCCAATGGCCTCTATTTATTTTCATTTCTTTGGTGGGAAGTATCTGAAGGAAAGGAAGGGACTCAATTTCTTCTCATCTTCAGCGACTTCCACGGTCAATCACTTAACAAGCATTTATCAAACACTAATCATGTTCTAGGCACTAGGGTTACAAAACCAAAAAATGAAACAGCCCCTACCCTCAAGGAGCTTACATTTCTTCTAAGAGTAATGGGCTGATTTCCTCTGACTTACAGTATTAGCTGGAGCCATCAGCTCATAGTTGGCAGTTGGAAAGAATTTCAGAGGTCATCTATAGTCTAACTTGCCCATTTCACAGAGGAGGAGAATGAGGTTGCCCAAGGACACACAAGCAGACCTGGGATTCGAACTCAGTTCCTTTGACTCCCAGTCTAGATTGCCTCCCACCATTCTGGTATTAGGATGCAACAGACTTGAATCAACTAAAGTCTTCTTCAAGCATGAGACTTTTCAGGCAGAGACCTTCCCACTCTTCTGTAACCTCTACATTGTTTATTTTTCCTGGGGAAGACATTCCCACCCTGCCCTACTATAGGCTGTTGGCAGAGGTAGGATGTCATTTTGATTTGCTCAAGCAGAATTTTATATGCTGCTGAAGCCCTTTGGAAAAAATTGACTCCTACAACTCCTCTGGGGACTCTCTTTATTTTCTTTTTTATAGCAAAATTATACCACAAGTTCTATTTATTTCACTTTCAGTGTATAGTTCCAGAAAATGGTGAGATAGACATGGCCCCAACAGACTATGATAAGGAATGAGTTGAGAGCATTTGACTGTCTCTTCCTGGTCTTACTGCCACTGGAGATCTAGGCTAGGCTGTGCTGATCACTGTTCTTTCTCTCATTAAAGAATCTGTTCCAGAGTTGATCAAGTATTGTTTTTGGACTAGACTGGTTTCAAGAACAAAAGCCTTTCCCCCCCCTCTTATCACTTAAGGAGACTAATTGACTAGATGGTTTATCTTTTAATACCACAAATATAGGATTGGGAGGTATTTTGACAATCTGTGGCTATGTCTACAGGAGGACTATGAAGATGATGAGGGAAATGGAGTCCAGATAATATGTGGACAGCTATAATAAAAATAACAGTACTAATAGTTAGCATTTATATAACACCTACTATGTGTCAGGTATTGTGCTAAGCACTTTACAAATATGATCCCCATTCTACAGTTGAGCAAACTGAGGCAGACAGAAGTATAGTGACTTACCTAAAGTCATACGGCTAGTAAGGGTGATCTGAAGGTGGATCTGAACCCAGCTCTTCTGACTCCAGGCCTAGCACTTTTTGCACTACACCAGGCTTGCCTATAGCTCTTTCAATGTCTGCAAAGCATTTTTGACATGTACAGAGAAGACTTGGTGGTGGTAGTGGTAGAGGATATGACAGAAGTTTGCAAGTATTTGAAAGAATGCCATGTGGAAGATGGTTCTGATGGAGATAGTTGAGAGAACTGAGGCTAGGTTCAGAATTAAGCCCCAAAAGAATTTAGCTGAGACCTTGATGAGGAATGAGCTTGGGGGCATATCTCCCAATAGGCTTCTATTGTGCTATATTTTACATTGAAAGGAGATATTTGGTTCTTAGAATGGAGACATCCTAGGAATCCAGAGCAGAACCGAAAGTAATGAATTGGTCCTATTATCCTATGATTCTCTGGTTACCTATGGAATGTTGGCAAAGCCACTTAATGTTTCTGGGCCTCAGTTTCCTCATTTGCAAAATGAAGGGGTTTGACTAGAAGGCTTCTGAGGTCCCTTCCAGCTCTAGATGTTGCAAAGAGGCTTTTTAGGCTTAATTTAACGTAGGCTTGGTGAAGGAAAACATATCCTTGCAATTAGGGCTGTCCTAAAGGGGAACCATATGTTTTGGGAAGTAGTGAGTTCCTCCTCCCCAGAGGACTTCAAGAAGAGGCTGGATAATCCTAAGAATGGTGGTGGAGGGGATATGTGCTTACAAAAGGTCTAGGCTAAATGTGGTCTGAAGTATCTTCTAGTATTGGAATTCTGCAATTGTGGGTGGAGATGAGGTCAGGAAGATCTCCTTCTCCTCTCTGGCAAGAAAGAGTCTGTTCACTGAAAACCTCAGCAGCTAGTTCAATTCAATTCAATCGATTCAGGGGCCGCTAGGGGACAAAGGATAGAGCACTGGCCCTGGATTCAGAAGGACCTGAGTTCAAATCCGGTCTCAGACACATAACACTTACTAGCTGTGTGACCCTGGGCAAGTCACTTAACCCCATTACCTAGCCAAAACAAAAAAAAGCAAAACCAAAAACAATTCAATCAATTCAGTCTAATTCAATAAACATTCATTAAATGCTTACTACATTTAAGTTTCTGGGGATACAATAAGAACATGAAATAATGACTGCCTGCTTAGCACAGTGCCTGGCACATAGTAGGTGCCATATAAATGCACGTTCCCTTCCCTTTCCCTACTGCATGCAGAAACAGTTGGATCTGTGTTTTTTTTTTTTTTGGTTAGGCAATGGGATTAAGTGACTTGCCCAGGGTCACACAGCTAGTAAGTGTTATGTGTCTGAGACCGGATTTGAACTCAGGTCCTCCTGAATTCAGGGCCAGTGCTCTATCCACTACGCCACCTAGCTGCCCCTTTATCTATCTATCTATCTATCTATCTATCTATCTATCTATCTATTCATTCATCTATTTGTTTATTTGTTTATTTAGCTGTTTATTTATTCATCTATTTATTTATTTATTTGTTTATTTATTTATTTGGATCTGTGTTTTCAGAATGCCACTTTGGCAGTTCTGTGGAGGATTTGTTAGAAAAGGGAGTGACTGGAGTCAAGAAGACCAAGTAGGAGTCCATTCAGATGAAAGAATAAAATAAAATGTATGCCGTGCCTGGATATTGGTACTTTCTAGTTCTCATTGATAACTGAATCTCTTGCCTTCCACTTTCTCAGGAGTCACATTTTCATTTTTCTGGAAGATCCAGGGAGAGCAGCCCAGGACAGCCCTTCCAGCCTATGGAGGGCAGGTTATTTCCAGTGGATTCAAGGTCTGCTCCAGTGAAGGAAAAGGCTCTGTGGAATTTTACACTCGTGAGAATTCTATGAAGTGGGAGGCCAGCTTCAGTCCACCAGGTAAATTTCAGAGCTGTCTCTGTTGTCTTCTGCTTGGAGACTTTGAAGGGACAAACAGCTGCTTTATGGGGCCCAAAGTATTCAATGATAAAGAACAGACTTTGCTATATTTAGATAATAACTATAAACCCCATGTTGTCTGGTTTGGTACAAGCTTACTGCTTTTTAAGGTGTCATTAGGGAAGGTTATAAAACTCACCATTTAAACATGTATTCTCCCCTTGCCACAGATCATGTGTGGTTTTCAATCTGATTCTACAAGCACTTATTAAAACTCTGTTCTGTGTTGGAAACTGAGGTCCAGCTAAGTGAAATGTTTCACCCAAGGTTGCTTAACTAGTAACAAGCATAGCGGGGTCTGACCCCAGGTCTTTTGACCAGAAATCCAGAGCTCTTTCCATAATTTCATGCTAAGGTGATCATAGGTCACCTTAGAACTGAGAAGTCTTTTACAAAGGAGAGATCTCAAAGAGATGAAACAATTCCCAACTGCAAGGAATTTATATTCTACTTGGAGGTGGGGGAGGATACAGCTTGTTCACCAATAAGCAAATGCAAAATACATGAAAAGAAAATATAAAGTAATTGGGAGAATACTAACAACAGGGGAGGGAGAGAATCAGGAAAAATCATGTAGGGTGTTGGAATGGACTTAGCCTTGATGGGAGTTAGAAATTCTGAAAAGTGGAGGCAGTGTGGCATTGGGATTAGAATCAAGGAGCTGAGTTCGAGTCCTAATGGTGCCATTTAAGGACAGTGTGACCTTGGCCAATGTACTTAACTTCTCTTGGCCTCAGTTTCCTCATCTGTAAAATTGTGGGGGGTGGTATTAGATGACTGCTCAAGTTCCTTCCAGTTTTAAATTCTTGAGTTTAGGAGGTGAGGAACTCGAGCATTCCTGGGATGGGAAACAGGCTATGTAAAGGCAGGGAGATGAGAAGCGATAAGTTATTTCTAGGGAACAACAAACAGGCCGATTTGGCTGGAATATTGAGTGCGTGAGAGGGCGTAATAAGAAATTAATCAAGAAAGATAAGTTTTATCCTAGACACCATAGGGAGCTATTGAAGCTTCTTAGGGAAAGGAGTTACGTATTTATTCATAATTTCATCATAACTTTGAAGTTGGTCATTGATTTTCTGTCATTTATCTGGTATGATTCACTCACTCAAAACAACATAGCCAAATCGATCCTTTTCTCATTTCTCTCTTTGGCTGGTTCCATTGCTCCAGTTTTTGCAGGCTGATGTCATTAGGGACGAGTCATTTGGCCGCAGCTCTGTGGACAATTAAATGTTTACCATTCCAGTGGCTTTCCTAGTCTTTGTGTTTTCTTTCTGGAACAGTCTGTGGAGCTGTGTCCTGGGAGTCACATGCAATCCCAGGCTACAAGAAGTGGTGGTAGTTGGGGTGGGGGGGCAGGAAGAGGGGGAGGATAGGAAACATTCTGCTGTCTCCCTGGCCACTGTGCTCCACTGTAGCAATGGACCAAGAAGGCTCCGTGGAGGAGGTGGCGCCTGAGCTAAGCTTGAAAAAAGACAATATTCTTAAAGGAGGGATTACATTTCAAGCATTTGCTTATAAACTAGGTTGAACTGTGATGCCGTGGTCCCAGTGGCCCAATGATTCAGGCTCTTGGATAAACTTGGGAAAACATAGAATCTCAAGTTGGAAGAGACCTTGCTCAGAGCTGTGAAGGTGGCTGATAACTGGGAGGGTCTTCTCTCTTCTGGAGGACTGGCTATGCCCTGAGGGTCTGCAGACACTTTTGCCCTATTTCAGGAGTTTTCTTGATTTATGTGATGAGCAGTGAGACCAACCTTCCATAACTCCCCATTGGCTGGACTTCTATAGCCTGGAGAATGTGAGTTGGGGTCAGACAGGAGATTTAAGAATTTAAAAAAAATATATATATTTATTTATAACATTCTTTTTTTAAAATTTGAGTTCCAAATTCTCTTCCTCCCTCCAGCCCCTCCCTCATCCAATGAGAGGGCAATCAATGTGATATCAATTATACATGTGACATCATGCCAAATATATTTCCATATTAGGAGATTTAAAATTTAAAATAAATGTCATCAATGTCCTATCTGTTCTTAGGACAGGGCAGCCAGGGCTTTGCCTCAGGGCACTAGATGAAGAGAGCTCTTTGATAGTTCTCAAACTCTTCTAGCCCCATAGAAACAATGGAGCCTACCGTCTAGCTGTCAAGAATAATGAATGAAAGTAGGAAGTTACCAGATGGCCAGATGTAGGGAGTATACTTTCTCTTCATTTCTTCCTCTCAAAGTATACCCTCCCATCAGCTGCTGCACCCCATCCCCAGCCCCAACTTACCTTCCTATATCAGCAAATCCTCACCTATGGGAGATGATATTCTGTTTCCCCACCTGTCTGCTGAATTTGTCTTGAAAAGTTGCTTGGGGGGAATTTGTAGCATTGCTCGCCTCTCTTCCCAACCCCTTACCATTTTAAAAAGCTTACCCCAGGTGCTAAAAATACAAATTACAGCCCTGATGTAGTTATAAACCATGGTGATGAAAAGCTTCATTTAAAAAAAAAAGAAATCTGACAGAAATTATGAAAACATTTCTCTCCCTACAGATACTTTTAAAACATCTCATTTATTCCAACTCCATTTGTATATGTAACTGTGGAAGCCAAGATTCCGTTAAGATATGAACTTTCATTTTGTTGTGCTTATTGGTGTTTGCTTGTTAAACTCAGATTATTTTCCAGCATGGGGGCATATGAGGGGCGGAGAAAGCATGTACCTGGTGTTATAAACTCTTGTTTGTATGCCAAATAGGTTATTATTATTCCCACCTCCAAATAAGGGGGTAATTATACCTTGGACCTACTTAAGGGTCAAATGTTCTTCAGAGGCTCAAAAATGACTAGAAAGTTGCATAATACTTAGCCAGAACACCTGATGTAATTGCTTTGCAATTTGCAATTACTGGCAGGATGACAGATGGTGGTTTGCTGTTCCAGAGCTGTTGTGTTCTCCCCAGCAGTGACGCCATTATGATATCCTCACATCAATGTTTGGCAAATGTGTGGAGGTCCTACTTGGGGGGAAATGGCCCCAGAAATCCAAGGCTCATTCTTCTTATTGGTGAGCTTAGTCTTCCCAAGAGAGGAGAGAGTCTACAAAATGTTTATTGGGAATGGTGGGGAGTATAGGGTAGAAATCGGTCTTATGTAACTCTCCGTTGGCATGACAATCTGTTTATGGGCCTCTATCGCCTGGAGAGTGTGAGTTGGGGGTACAATTTGTACTCCTGGCACTCAGCACAGTGTCTTGATTACAGTAAGCATTTAATTACATGCTTTTCATTCCAAATTTAAGGGGCAGACCTTCTAGGACTAAAGAGGTGACGATCCCACTGTACTCTCCCCTGGTCAGACCACATCTAAGATATTTGTGGGCACCACTACTTAAGGCAATCATGGATTAGCTAGAAGGCAACCAGGATGGTAAAGGGCCTTAAGTGTGTGGCATATAATTGAAAGTGCTGGGAGCGTTAAGCCTGGAGAAGAGAAAATGGGGTAGGAAGGTGGTAGAATTGGAATGGCATGATACATGTTTTCAGGTACTTGAAGTAGAAGAAATACTAGATTTGTTTTGTTTGGCCTCAGAGGGCAGAAGTTACAAAGAGGTAAACTGAGGTTTGAGGTCAGGAGAATCTTCCTAATAATAAGATCTGTCCCAAAGTGAAATGGATTGCTTTAGGAGGTAGTGAGTTCCCCCTCACTGGTGGTTTTCAGGCTGTGGCTGGGTGTCCTCTCACCTGGTATGTTATAATGGACACAGTGTGGATTGAGTTGGATTGTCACTTGGGTTTCTTCTAGGTCTGAGATTCTGTGATTTTTTTTTTTTTGGCCTGTGTTCAGTAGTAAAAGAGAAAAGCATGGCACCACCAGGGATAATCATCAAAACTTTTAAAAGTTAGTTAAAATTTACTTGATTTAGAAATATATATAGGCATTAAAGTTATTCCCTGGAAACTTAGGACTGCCTGGAGAGAAGGAGACCTAGAGGGGTTATCCAGTTATATATGAGTATTTGAAGGGTTGTCACGCAGAAGACAGAGTTCATTTAATGCAGACATCAGTGGGCATCCAGAAAATGGTGGGGAGAAATGTTCTCTCTGAGGTCCTTTCTAAGAATTCAAGCCAAAGTCTTCTGGGGAAATCAGATGAGTCCCGTTCTGAGTAACTGATGACCTACTCTGCTTGGTCTCAGAGAACAGAATTGGGGGTATCTGGTGTCAGGTACAAAGGCAGATTTTGATTCCATGAAAGAAGAGTTGTCCAAAATGGTCTGCCATGGGAGGTGGTGGGTTGCTTTCTACTAGAGGTCTTCAGGCAACATCTGGCTGTCCCTAACTGTCAAAGGCGGGGTGGAGGGGGATTCTGAATGTGTGAGCCATGACCACCTTTGCTTTTCTCTAGGTCCCTATTGGACTCATGTCCTATTCACATGGAAATCCAAGGAGGGCCTGAAAGTCTACGTCAATGGGACCCTGAATACCACAGACCCAAGTGGAAAAGTATCTCATACCTATGGGGAGCCCAATGTCAACCTGGTGATCGGCTCTGACAGAGACCAACCTAAGAACTATGAGAATGGTGCTTTCGATGAGTTCATTATCTGGGAGCGAGCCCTGACCCCCAGTGAAATCAGGATGTATTTTACAGCTGCTATTGGTCAGTGAGAGCGTGAGCCACCTCAGGGGCTACTTTTTGAAGCAATTGTTTCTTATAGAATCCCCTTTAGCCCTCCTCCCTTCAAAAACCACCACTACCACCATCATCACCACAACAAAAAACAAACAAAAAAACCCAACTAGTGCTTCCTCCTCCCATATTGACCTGATTCAGTGCTGTAGGGGTTAAAATGTACTCTAATAAATGTGGTCCTTTATTAGAACACCTGTTCCCTAAGATAAAGAGGTTAACAATTTGCTTGAACTGCAATATAATTTATGTTTCCATGCTGATGATCCGAACTTCTAGCCCACTAGTCCAGCTCCTGGATTAGATGTTTTTTTTTTTTTTTTTGGTTTCTGGGAGGCAGTGTGTTATGGCAGAAAGAATGTTGACAATCCCATCTCTGCTCCTTATGCTCATGTTAACTGTGGCTCCATTTCCTGGGCCTCAGTTTCCCCATGTGTAAAATCAAGGGGTTGGACTAGATGAGCTCTTAAGTCTTAGGTCCCTTCCAGTTCTAAATCTATGGTCCTAAACTGATTATATCTTTAGTTGCCCAAACTCTTGTTAAACAAATGTCTGCTATGTACAAAACACTGTGCATTCAATATGGTTGGAATAGCATAGTCAAGTGAACAAGCATTTATTAGGCACCTACTCAGTGCCAGGCACATAGAGCTAAGTGCTGGGGATACAAGGAAAGGCAAAAGACAGGGTAAGCTCTCCAAGAGCTCATAGGGTAGACATCATGAAAACCGTTATGTACAAAGTATAGGTTAAGTTGGAGGTGGTTCTAGAGGGAGGGCATTAGCATTACCTTAGGACCAGGAAGACCTGCATTCAAATCCTGCCTCTGACATATACTGGCTATTTGACTCTGGCCTTTCATTGCCCTAGGCAGTTTTCCAAGTCTATAAGTTGCAGAAAAGGTGCCAATCTTCATCAGTGGAGGGAATTTCGTCCTCTTGGAGCTCTCTGTGTCAATGAAATAATTGGTTCAGTTTCAGATTCAAAATATATGTATTATGCTAATAAATGCTTGTGGAATTAAATGGAATTGGGCTTCAGGTTGGAAAAATGAAATAATATCACAATCCTGGCCGTATAGGATCATAGATTTCAAGGAGGAAGAGATATTAGGGCATCTGTTCCAACACCCTCATCTCATAGATGAGAAAACCAAGGCCCAGAAAGTTTGAGTGACTTGCCCAAAGTTACTCACTCATGTGGCAGTTGGCAGAACTGAGATTCAAATCTGCATTCAGTGCCTCCAAATCTGTGGCTCTTCCCACAATGCTAAACCACCTCTTATGATTGTCTGCTATGGAGATATGGGCAGCTGGGTGGTGCCATTAATGCATAGAGCACCAGGCCTGGAGTCAGGAGGACTCATCCCTGAGTTCAAATCTGGCCTCAGATACTGAGTAGCTGTGTGACTCAGGTCAAGTCATTTAACCCAGTTTGCCTCAATTTCCTCCTCCCTAAAATGAACTGGAGAAGGAAATGGCAAACCACTCTAGTACCTTTGCTAAGAAATCCCCAAATGGGGTCACTAAGAGTGAGAAATAGCTGAAATAGTTCAGCAATGACAATATTGGGGAGCATGGAGAGGTTTACTTAGTGCCGACTATATTTAAGACTTTCCGAGGTGCTGAGAAAAGCACTTCACAATTATTTGTTCATTGACTTACTGACATAAATTAATTGACAAGAATTTGTTAAGCAGCTACTATGTGCCAGGCACTGTGCTGGATGCTGGAGATAGAAAGACAAAGATGAAATAGTGCCTCCCCTCAAGGAGCTTACATTCTTTTGGGAGAGACAGCATGTATAGGTCTAAGTATATGCAGAATAAGTCCAAGGTAGTTGAAGGCAGGAGGGCTCTAGCGGCTGTGGGGGAAAGTATCCATGTAGAAGAAGGTGATGCTTAAGTTGAGTCTCAAGGGAAAGAAAAGATTCTGAGATGTGGGGATGAGGGTGGAACGAAAAACCATCCAGTTGAGTGACTGGAATATTAGATTGGAAGATGAGGGACTCGTGTTTCCAATCCCAGATCTGCCCATTATTCATTTTGCCACCCTATGCTGTTCATTTATCCACCTTTTGTCTGTCTCATAAAACTGTGAATTGGAAAGATACATAAAAAGTAATCTAGTTCAATTCTCTCATTTTATAGGGGAAGAAATGGATGTTTAGAGAGGGGAAATGATTTATTTGAGGTCATATAGTATGTGTCAGAATCGAGATTCAAACTCAAGTTATGAGCTCCTAAGAATTAAAAGGGAGAAGAAACCTTAGAGGCCACCCTTAAGTGGCCCTCCTTTTACAGACAAGGAAACTGAGGCTCAGAGAGGTTAAGTGATTGACCCAGAGTCACACAGGAAGTCAATTTGAAACTGTGCCCACCCACTTCAAATCCACGCCCTCTTCCTCTTGAAACACGGCTGCCTTTGTCCACTGAGACCTGGTCCTTGTCGCCTAGTGAGGGCAAGTCTGAGGAAGTAAGATATTAGAAGAAAAATCCACAGTAAGGGCTTGTCCGGGATTCAGCAAACATCATCTTGAGATCGAGCTATCTGTCTCTTGTGTTCCCATGCTTAAAAGCCTCCAATAAATTATGTTTTCTTAATATTTTCAATGCTTTAGTTACATCAGAAAAATTTGCTTTTGCATCTGGTTGTTGTAGAGACCATAACCCTCCTTTCTACAACATCACCAGGCCCAGGGCTATCATAAATCAATCCCTTTGCTTCAGAGTAATGCTGCAAGAACGCTGTGTAACGCACAGCAAGTACTTGCTCCTCGTCCCCTTCCTCCGGGCTCTACCGCTTTGTTCCGGAGGAGCTCTGTCTCCTGGGAGGCTGGTTGGAATCTTCCCCCTCCGGGGGTATGTGAACTGTGGCCTGCCTCATGCCCCTTGGGAAGCGAGGGCTCCCTTCACTCCTTCCTCCCCTCCAGCACGTGGATGCTTGCTCTGTTAGCTAGCACAGCGGTCCGGGCTGGAGGTCGGCACATTCTTTCGGGATGCATTCAGGGCATCCTGGGATGAGGGGCTGCAGGAGCTAGCTAGGTGTAATGATGTCATTTCACAGATTTTCCCTGGGTCAACAACATTCCTCCTTTCCCTCCCCAGCAGCCTCTGGGGCTTCAGCTGATGACAAGTGAAATCTGCATCTCGGCCAGTGCGTTGGATGGGGAGATCTGAGAAGGAGAAATTTTTGCTGGAGATGAGACAGGCACACCTAAATCATAAGTGAAATAGACACAATCTCGTGTCTTCATATTCTCAGTTAATTGGATGGCTCTGCAACCGAGCACAGCAGACTTGCCCCCTGGACAGGAGAGAATCCAAAGATTGCTAAGGCTACAAGGAACTTCAGAAATCAGAGAATATAGGAGCAGCTAGCTAGGTGTCACAGTGGATAGAACACAGGACCTGAGTTCAAATCCGACCTCAGACACTCTCTGTGTGACCCTGGGCAAATAATTTAACTCCATTTGCCTCAAAAAAAAAAAAAACAACCCAAGTCATAGAATAGAAATCTAGAACTTGTAGGTCATCTGGGTTAATCCCCTAATTTTACAAGGAAGAAACTGAAGTCCATAGAAGTTGGGGCCTCAACATCACATAGGTACAAAGTGGCAGAGCTGAGATTCGAAACCAGGTCCTCTGACTCCAGATTCAGGGATCTTTTGACTGCACCACAATTATTGTCAAGTCACTGTACCTCCAGGCTGGAGGATGCCCCATGCATTCTAGCTCATTGCCAGTTTTTAGCAACAGGTTCTGAGAAAGAGGAGTTGGCCAGCCACCTTTCCTCAATTCCTTCTTGCTGTGATGTGAGCTCATTTGTTTTGGTTCTTTCCTTCTGGGACAGAGAGAACAGCTGGCCACTGTCCTTTTCATATTAAATTTTGATGTATTGGAGTGGTGCCCAATAAATATATGTCAAATGACTGATTTATTCATATATTGTGCAAAATAATTAACACTAAACAATACAATTCACCTATCTGTTCTAATTTGTGTCTTGGGGGAAACTAAGAAAATTCCATTAATAAAAATGTTTTATTAGCCCTACATATTTCCAGGAAGTCTCCCACTCTGGGAATACATATTAGAGACAGAATATGAGTACTGAGAGGGCCTTAGATCTAAGCTAACCTCAACCAACTTTAAGTTTTTTAAAGCTCTTTACAAATATCTTCTTTTTAATCTGCACAACAACCCTGGGAGATAGTGGCTATTGTTATCCTTGTTTTATATATGAAGAAACCAAGGCAGACAGAAATTAAATGATTCACCCAGAGTCACAAAGGTAGTAAGTGTCTGAAGCTGGATTTGAACTCAGGGCTTTCAGAGCTCTTTCTGCTGTGTCATACTTAGATGGTCTTAGGTGACCTTAGAAACTTTTGGTAAAGGAAAGGGGAAAAAAATTAATGAAAGAGGACTATTCCTTTTCTTTCCATTTAATGAAAAATGATTTCCCCCCCCCAGGAAAGCAAGTATTTCTTTCTACCACACCTCCCACTGCTGCAACCAACATGAAGGTAAGAGAATGTTTGGAGGGATTTTTAGAGCATTTCATTTTCATTCTGACTCCTGTGACTTCTTGCTAAAAAAACCCAAAAAACTCTTGCTGAGGCTGCTTCTCAAAGTACTTGAAGGTCCTAATGGACTTTATAAGCCATTGGCTGGTGTTCTGCTCTTGGAAGACAAAGAGAGAGATGAGGAGAAAAGAGTCTTCATAGCCCCTTTGGTCTGGGACTGGAGGGGAAGGTCATGGCGGTGAGGGAGTGAGAAGAGCAAGTCTCAAAATTGGATGGGTCCAATTTCTATAGAAGGCTATGGATAGGATTTTTAGAGGGAGGGATTCATAATATCTTGTCTTGCCTTTTCCTAGGTCTCCACTGATGTCTATTGTTCCATCATAAACAACTTGAATGAGCAAAGAAGCAATTCTGAACGAGAAGGGACCATGCTGAGCTACCTTCAGAACATGTCAGTCAGCTTACCCAATGAGTCTCTGTCAAAGGATACTGCCCTCAATTTCACTGAGGTAAAGGTTCTCCCACCTGGGTCCACCATGCTGAAACTGACTATCTTTGGAAATAAACTATGTGTGGCCTTGGGATTTTTTGCCCCAGCAGAGTGGGCTTTGTGCAAAATAGGGTTCTAAACCTCCACCCACATCCCTGTTCTGGTTCTGGTCCATCAGATCTCTGTTTGACCCCAGAGGGTGGAGCTGGGACCAAGTTGGTTGGTACTTGAGAAGAGGCAGAGTTAGGCTTGATGTCACTTACCCTCCATTTTCTCCTCTGTTAACAAAGCAAAGCGAAAGAAAACTTTACAACAATTGGAATGGATTCTGTTGCTTTGGGATATAGTCCCTCCTCAGTGGAGGTCTTCGACAAGAGGCTGGTTGACCACTCCCTCTTCAGGAATGTTGCAAATATGGAGATTCTGCTTTAGGCAGAGTTTTCTCAAACTGGCCTCTGAGATTCTGTGTGACTCTGAGAATCTCACTTAGTTGTTGAGAAGCCTCTGGGTTCTTGGAAGCTATAGTAGCAGAACGCCAGCTGCCAAACAAGAAAGGCTTTGAACTTGGGCCTATTGACTGATTGTGTCTATTGTGTGAAAAGCAGCCTGATGGCACAGTAGATAAGAGTGTTTGATTGGGAGTCAGGAAGAGCCGAGTTTGGTACCACTGGTCTAGAGGAAGATGAAGGGTTTTGGCTACAGCAACTCTTGAGTGTTTTCTCCTAAGCTATATGGGGTCTTTGACCTGCCTTGGTGGAGTGAATAGTCATATTAAAGAAATTATTGATCTTTGAAGTCGATTTTAAAAGTCACCTAAATCCCATCTGGGCTCCTGTGTTTAGTACATTCTCACTTTTCTCCGTTTCAGCAGCTGGGAAAAATTGCAAAATTCAAAAAGAAGATTCAATTGAGAAACGGAGGGCTCATAATTAATGCCCTTTCAAAGACTCAGACCTAGAGCAGGTCCCCATAACTCTGTGAGTCTATTCAGCTGGGCTACCTTGAGTACCCTGTTAGCTTAATCCTTGCTCAGAATGATTTAGGGTGTATAAGTTCAACAAGTATATGTATATATAATGGAACTGTTGAATGTGTGTGTGTGTGTGTGTGTGTGTGTAATACTACTATCATCTTTGAATCATCTTTATTTCCCAATATGTCCCTTTCCCTCCAAAAAAGCCCAACTTTATTTAAAAAAAGAAAAAAAAATTCGCAGTTAATCAAAACTAACCAAGTCATTAAAAAAGTCTGATATTATATATAGTGTTCCATACCCATAATCCCCCACCTCTGAAAAGAAGGGGTAGGGAGAAGCACTTTCCTATCTTTTCTTTGGGGCCAAACTTCTGCATGCACTTATTAAGTGCCTACTATATTCCAAGCACTCTATAGATGTTCAGGATACAAAGATAGAAATGAAACAACCCTTCCTGGCAAGAAGCTCACTTTCTACTGGGCAGAAAACACAAGTATCCAAATAATGATAATGATGATGATAATAACAATAATAATGACTAACACTTACATGGCACCTACTGTGTACCAGGCACTATGCTAAGCTCTTTACAATTATTGTCTCCTTTGATCTTCACAACAGCCCTGGAAAGAAGGTGCTCTTATGATCCCCATATTACAGATGAGGAAACTGAGGCAAACAAAGGTTAAGTGGCTCACCCAGGGTGGAAGAGCTAGGAAGTATCTAGGGGTGGATTTGAACTCAGATCTTCTTGACTCTAAGCCTAGCACTCTATGCACTAGGCCACCTTGCTGCCCTTGAATTAGATGGAAAGTCACTTCAAGAAGGAGAAAGCATTAACAACAGGGGGAAGGAGACCAGAAAAGACCTCATCTAGAAGGTAGCCTAGTTTGAAACCCTGACTCAAGTACTGTCAGAATCAATCCTGGGAATGGGACCAGGTGTTTTTGCTTACTTGATGGTGAAAGAAGCTTTTCTCCAACTGTCCATATAACACATGAACATGTTAGCACGACTAAGAGGCATCTTGGTATAGTAGATAGAGGCGGTCTTGTAGCCAGGAAGACCTGGGTTCAAGTCCCATCTTTGACATAAACTGAGTGTAAGAGGGAAACCTTTAGGTGCACCCAGACAGCCTCTCTAAGAGTACAAGTTACAGAATAGCCACCCATCTTCATTCAGAGAAGGAATTTCCACATGAGGAACTGGCTTCACTAATGAAATCCCAGGTCTGGTTCCTCCTCTCTCCTCTCTCATTGTTTCCTTCTCCCCACCACACCCACCCTACGTGACACAGTTCACAGAGCAATGTACCTGGAGTCAGGAAGACCTGAGTTCAACACCAGCCTCAGATATTTTCTACCTGTGTGACCCTGGGCAAGTTACTTAATCCCTGTCTGCCTCAGATTCATCAACTGTTGAAAAATGGGGATTATAATAGCACCAACTTCCTAGGGTTGTGGTGAGAAGATGAAATGAGGTAATATTTGTAAAGTACTTAGCACAGTGCCTGGCACATAGTAGGCACTTAATAAATGCTTGTTTTCTTCCTTCCTTCTTCCACTCCACCCCAAAATGTATCAAGGCCAATGACATGAATAATACTTCATAAATGGAGGAGAAGAATGGCTAATTTTCTCCATCCCCACATGCCCTGTGCTTAAGAGATTTTTCCATTAAACACTGATAGTATAGTCTAAGCTCTATTGATAGCAGTCCTTTCCAGGAGCCTGCTTTGGCTTTGTAGCTATACTTCTTCAAAATTTTGTCTTTACTGAGCATTAACTATTCACCAATGAAATGAGGATGGGGGGGGAGGGAATAAGTAAAGTGGAGTATTCACACTGGGAGCACTATAGAAAGAGCAGTTTCTCTGGTGTCAGGGGACCTAATTCAAATCCTAGTTTTGTCACTTACTCCTCATGTGACTCTGGGCAATCAATCAATACATAAACATTTAATAAATGCCTGATATATACTGGGATACAAAGGAAAAGATGAAATAGATACTCAAGGAGTGCACATTTCTTTTGAAGCCACTACCACTCTGGGTTTCATTTTCCCTATCTGTAAAATGAGGGGTTTGGACTAGTGTAATTAATCAGTGAACATTTATTAAGCACTTTCTGAGTACTGAGTACAGAGTATTAAATACTGAAGAGTTCTTGCCCTTGAGAAGCTTACATTCTAAGACAACATGTAAATAAGTAGCCAAGTCCAAGATTCTTAGAGAGTAGATGGAAGGTGACCTTTTTTTGGGGAAAAGCTCCCTCCTTTCCAATTTTAAATCTATGATCCTACCATCTGGAAATGTTTAGAGGACTCTGGAATCATAGGTACAAAACTTTTCTTACGTTGTGTGTAGAAGAGGGAGTGAAGGGCTGAGAAGATCAGGAACGATGGAAGGAACACGGGAAAGGAGAATATTTTTGAAGGTGTCTTCTTTGTTACCTGAATCAATGACATTCAATGAAATTCAAAAACTTTGAAATACTCTCACTCTGTGTTTGCTACTGGGGAAACCAAGTCTGATGGCTGTTGACAGGAGCCATGCTGGGAAGATGCATTACCAAGGTAGCCTCCACTGAGAGGAATGCAGCAGAGATTTCTGAAGTCTGCTTTGGGGAAGAACACAGAGATCTCTAAGCCACTTGTCAGACCTGCTTCTCTATGTTTCCGTGCACCATTTGCACATCAATGCACCAGGCTCTTTTGGCTTTAAAAGGGCTCGTTACAGGGCAAGTCTTCTGTTTAACGCCATATTAATGCCTGGATTCAGGAGGACCTGAGTTCAAATCTGGCCACAGACACATAACACTTACTAGCTGTGTGACCCTGGGCAAGTCACTTTACCTCATTGCCTAGCAAAGGAAAAAAAAAGAGCTTATATTCAAATGGAAGAAAAAGATTAGGGGAGTTAGTAGACAGGAAAGGGTTTTTAAAATTAGAAATCTAACTTTCCTGATTCCAATTTCTATGATAATAGACTAGGTGTACTCTGAAGCCAATAAATAAAGGGAGCTCCTTGTCAAACTATACGGCTTTTTAACCTGCTGTCCATGGTCTTGTTTGTAAAAAATATTTAGGTCATTGGATTTCAATCTAATAGGTTTTCTTTGTCATCCTTTACACTGTATGCATTTAAAACCTTGATTTCAAAGACGGGTTCATAGGCTTAACCGCACTGTCAAAGGGGTCCTATGATGCAAAACCAGCTAAGAACTCCTGTCTCACAGGGAGGGCTAGAGGTCCTTTGTATGGGGTCACTGACATGGCCTCTCCAGAAACAACGTCGGTCTTAATTTAATTATTATATGAGGTATGAGTGAGAGTGAGGAGTGGGGAGGAGCACCTATCAAGAAAGGAAAACGGTCAAGGCAGAACATGGTTGGGAGTCTGGGACTGGCTAGATATACAGAGTGTTATTCTAGATGACGGATATGATTATATATAGATTATGGATAATGATAGCACAGTCCCAGGATATGAACTCTACAACTGAAGGTAGAAAGGGTTACATTTTTAAAATTGGTATCTCCAGTACCAAGGACAGTTCCCAGCCCACAGTAGGTGCTTAATTCATGCCTGTTGAATTCTTTCAATGCACAATCCTCAGACTCAGTGGGAAAAAAAAAGCCTTATGCAGAGTAGTTGTTTAATAAACATTTGTTGATTGGCTGATGCTGCTTTATTCCCTGGTGTATTTTCCAAGAAGCAGCCCAAGTAGGTAGTTACCTGACTTCCTAAGGAGCATCACAAAATATCATTCCAGCCAAGTGAGGATGCGGAGAAGAAGCAGGGACAACAACAGATAACTCTGAATGTTAACAGACAAAAACAGCCCCCCTTCCTCCCCACAACTCCCAAACAGTGCCTGTTGTGTTATTTAGTTATTGCTAATGGGAAGAATCTGTCTCACACCTAATATTGTAGCGGCAGCAACTTGACATTTAATTGCTGCAAATTAAAACCATCAATTTCATAAGCTGTGCGTAACGGCAACACTCAGCTGAGATGCCACTACTCTTGCCAATGCACTGTTGGGGATAAAATAGGGGGAAAAAAGAACAAAGAAAACAAGAAATAAATGGCAGCGACTCAAACAACCTACCTGCTGATAAACAGAGTCAGTGATCCCCACCTATACCCTGAACTCTGCCCAAGCAGAACTCTGCCAGCCGCAGGAATTTCTGAGACTGCCACCGCCCTTCCTGCTTTCTTTAGATTTTATTAGAGCTGAAAGCGACCTTAGACATTGTGTAGTCAAAACTTGTTTTGTAGACCTAAAGACCGAGTCCCAGAAAGGGCAAGGGCAAGGTCTGAAAGACATGGGGCTGGAACCCAGGTGCCCTGAGCCTCAGTCTGGTGCCGTTTCTATGATGCCAGACTGGGTAACTCCCTCAGGTTAATTCCCTGAAACCAACCTGCAGGGGCAAGCACCTTCCATCCCTTCCCCCTCCACGGACCTCAGCCCAAACTGCCAAGCAGTTCAGTGTGTTCCAAATCACCCCCTTCCTCATTTCATGCTTATCCCGGTTTTATCCAATCCAATCCAATCAACCAATCCAACCCATTGGGTTAGGCACTGCAGACATAAAGACCAATATAAATCAGTTCCTACTGTCTATAGAGGGGGTTATATTCTACTGGGAGGAAAGGGGTGGCAACATGTATGCACAAAATCTATCTCTATATGTGCATATATACATACATATATATTTATAAAATTTTGGCTGAAAAATGGAATATTAAGAATTGAGGGAGGGGTCAGGGGAGGCTTCATGTAGGAGGTGACATGAGCTGAACCTTGAAAGAAACTAGAGATTTTTAGAGTCAGAGGTGAGGAGGGAGAGCATTCCAAGCTTGGAAGTGAAGGAAGGAAGGGGAAACAGCCTGTTCAAAGGAATGTGAGTGAGAAATGGATCGAGGCAACTAGATCCATTGGGTTGGAAATGATAGAATGAGAGGTGAAGCAATGTGAGATAGAGAAGTCTAGAAAGAGGAGTTGGAGGCAGAATGTGAAGAACTTTAAAATATAAGCTGAAAGTTTTTATTTTATTCCAAGGAGCTATTTGAAATTCTTAAGCAGAGGAAAGTTATGTGGTTCGATTTGTTGTATGGTCAGCAGAGAAACTGTCTCTTGGCCTGCTTTAGGGGCCTCTTTAAAGAAAGATTTGGGGATATTTCTCAACTCTGGGAATGAGAATCCCTTAAAATTTGAAAGCAAAATTCATATAAAGTGCTTCAGAAACCTTAAAATTAAGTGTATATGTACCCTATTGTTCTTTCAATGAACTTTCATAGCATAGATATCTCTAAGTGACCTGACACTAAGTTGTCCAGAATTTCTTATGTGCTGAAATGATACAATCTTAGAGCAAACAGAATTCTGAGAGATCAGTCTGGTCCAGCTCAGAGCTGGACAAGAGTCCCCTTTATAATATCTTGGACATGTGGTCTTCTAGCCTTTCCTTGCACACTACCAGTGATGAGGGACTCACTACCTAAAGAAGAGTCTATTTCACAAGTCTCGTGGTTAAGAGTTTTTCATATCTATTTCCTTCTATTGAGCTGAATTCTGCCTCTGGGATGCTTTCCCCTCACTGTTCCTGGTTAATGGCTAATTCCACTTCCAAGCCACAGTCCTGCCAATGCTGGCTGGCAGCAATCACGTCTCTTCTTCTTCAGACATTAATCTCCTGGAGTGTCTAGAGGAGGGCGATCAGGATAGTGAAGGGCCTTGAGTTCATGTCATATGAGGACTGGTTGAAAGAAATGGGCATGTTTCGTCTGGAGAAGAAGATTCAGCAGTGTCATGACAACTGTCTTCAAGCATTTGAAGGACTGTGCTTTGGAGGAAAGGTTAGCCTCGGTCTATTTGGCCCCACCGCAGGAAAGAGTCAGGAGTAATGGGTAGCAGTTACAAGAACAGTTTAGGTTCAATGTCAGGGAAAATTTCCCAAGAGAAACACCAGTGGCTTGACTTGGGGGATGCTGAGGTCTTCAATAAGAGTCTGATGACCCCTCATTGGGTATGTCTTCATGTCTGACTTGGACTAAATGGACAGCAGTCCCCTGCCCATCCTAAAATTTCTGTGATTCTGTAACTAAGTATCCTAGATCTTTCAGATGGTCTTCGTAGGGCATCAGCTTCAGGACCTTCAGCATCTCGGTCACCTTCCTTCAAATACACACACTCCATCCTGACACACGCTTCTAAAAAAAAATTGCATCTAATCCCATTTGCTTTTAAACAGTCTTACACAACCTGTCCCCGATCTATCTTTTAAGCCTCGTTGGACATTCTTCTCCCTCCCATGCTTCGCAAATCAGCCAAACTGGCCTTCCTTGTATGCATGTCAGGCTGGAATGCACTCACTCCCTCTTCCCTACTGCCTCAGAGACCCCCGCTTCCTTTAAGGTACAGCTCACCTACCATCTTCTTCACAAAGCTTTTCCTAATGTCCCCAATGGCTTGTGCTTTCCCTTCCAACATATGCTATTTTTAACTGCACGTGTATTTGTATTTATAACTATATTTATGCTGTATACATTTTATTTGTACTTGTCTCCATCAGTAAACTACAAACTTGCAAGGAGGGATTGTTTCATTCTTAGTATATGCCCAGTGCTAACATAGTGCTTAGCACATAGTAGGCACTTAGTATTAAATACTTGATTAATATTGCCTAATATTGCTTACATAGAGTCTAAGCAGAATTGTTTTTTTCCTCTTTAGGCCTTCTTAGAAACTGTGGGAGAGGTACTTAAATTCTCAAGTTGGACAAACACAGATGAGGTAAGATTAAAAATCACCTTGGTCTCCAAAACTTGTCTTTTATCTCCATAGAAATGTCACCCACAGATCTGCCATATCTGAAAAAAAAACTGAGTTCTTCTTCCTGGGTCTTATGACCAGGGAAGTAACTCAGTTCATGTGGACTGAATAGATTCAGAATAGGTTAAGAATGCTTGCCTTAGAATATCGCCTTCATGAGTTACTGAGTTTTCTTCTCCTCTCTTCCCCTCCTTTCCCCTCCCCTCCCCCACTCTCCAACACTCTCCTCCCCTCCCCTCTCTTGCTCTCCCCTTCCTTCCTTCCTCTCCCTCTCCTTCTCCCTCCCTTCTTCCCCTCCCTTTCTTCTCCTCCCCTTTTCCACCTTCTTTCCCTCCCTCTCTTCTTCCCTTTTACCGGATTTGTGTTTGCATTGGCATAGGGAATTAACTGCCAGTGAGGAAACTCCCTCTGCTAATGCAGGTTGCCACCTGCTCTGCAAATTATAGTCTTAGGGAATTACCTGAAACTGTGAAATAAGCAGCTAGCCCAGAGTCACACAAACTGTAGGAGTCAGAGGTGGGCCTTGAACCCAGCTCTCTGAGGCTAGCTTTCTCTAATTAGGCCACACCATCTCTGAGCAAGTGCTGGGTCAGGAAAAAAAAATTGTAGCTTGGGGGCCAATCCGAGATGAATTCTGGAGCCATAGATCTAGGCTGATGATAGAACATGCGTCCATCGCTGGAAACCCACTCAAAGCCTGGCTTTGGAGGGACCTAACTTGGGGCAGCTAGGTGATGCCATAGAGCACAGAGCACCAGGCATGGAGTTAGGAAGGCTCATCTTCCCGAGTTCAAATCTCACCTCAGATACTTACTAGTTGTGTGACCCTGAGCAAGTCACTTAACCCTGTTTGCCTCAGTTTCCTTATCTGTAAAATGAGCTGGAGAATGACATGGCAAATCACTCCAGTGTCTTTGGCAAGAAAACCCTGAAGTGGGGTCACAGAGAGTCAGACACTACTGAAATCAGTGAACAACAAGGAAGGGCCTTCTAGAGCTTGGTCACTTAGGGCGTATTTGAGAACCTAGGGTTACCTCCGCCTTCAACAGAGGGCTTGACTATGCTACTCACTAATTTTCTTTCTTGGTCCTGACCTGTGATTTCATCATTGTGAGTGACTTCTTGTATGGAAATTCCTTCCATCACCAGCAGATCAACAGGTCTTTTGTAACTTACGGTCTCAAGGCAGGGGTTCTTAACCTGGGGTCTGTGATCTTTTTTTTTTTTTATTTTGATAGTTGTATTTTAATCTAATTGGTTTTCTTCACAATCCTATGCATTTAAAGAAAACATTTGGAGGAGCTCTGTAGGCTTCATTCGATTGCTGAAGGAGGCCCCAAAAGGTGAAGAATACTTGGACTAGAATGTTGCTTGGGGCACTTGCTATGGTCACACAGCTGGTACGTGTCAGTGGCAAGACGTGAACCTGGGTCTTCTGGCTCTGAGGCCAGCCCTCTGTCAGCTAGCTACACTGCTCTACTTCTGATGGTTACCATGTAAACACATCAATTTGTAGCCCAACGAAGATCAGAGGCAATCTGGAATGAAGCTAATAATTCATAGTTTGCTTTGTAGTTACTTGTCTTTGGTACAGAAAATGAACTAATTTTTTTTTTTTTGGAAAACAGAAGCATAAAAAACTCATTGTGGTTTATATTGGCAAGGAGAGGAAAAGCTAAAGAAATTAGGGGACAGATGGTGCACCGCTGAGGGAGGATGTCTTATGTAAATTAGAGAAACCAAATTAGACAAGGGTGGAAAAGACATTTCTTGTTCAGAACCCAGACAAATGGAATTCACGAAAAAGTTGTCCCAGTGTACTGGGAGCATGGGAGAGTGAATGTTTCCTGGTTTCCTTCCACATGGGAGAGACATTTAAAGGCCTGCCAAAAGGAGGACTTGAAAAGTCGTGTTTTATATAATTTTAAATGGACTTATCACAAATGTTCTGCTGCAGAATATAAATAATCAGGAAAAGTCCTGGCTCAGATGTTTCTTTCTCCTACTCTGTATGCATTGAAGAGAATGGACGAATCAGTCATCACCTAACAGTAATGCATGCCAGACATTGCACCATTATATGCTGAGCCTATTGGAAACCAGGCAGTGGGCCTAGAAGGTTTCTAAAATTGAGCTCTCTTTTCTATTTCCAGCTTGTTAGAGTGCCATGGGAAATCGAATTGTGGGAGAGCTCTAGAGGAGTTTGGCTGCCAATAGATGCTAGAGTTCTAATTGAGGCAGGAGGAGGAAGATTGGTATTGGATGCAAGGGCAGAACCAGGGTGAGGCAACTGGAACGTTGTCCCCAGGGCATCAACATTTGGAGGATACAAATTAGAACAGCTATAATAGCCAATCCCCTACATTGTTCAATTGAATTTATCTATATTATTTCTTGTATTATTATCACATCGTGAATAATAAAGTTGACTTGAGGATACTTTTATGCTGCTTGTCCAGGGTTTGTTGCTACACTGGGCACCAAAATTGCTTCCCATAGTAGGCACTTTATGAATAAACATTCACATTCATGAATTCAACATTCATTGATTGGTTGTAACACTATCCGTGTGGTATTGCATAAGCAGCATTGGATTTGAAGTAAAAATTCTTGGGTTCATATACTGACCTTACTGCCTCCTCTCTGGGTGACTGTGGTTGCCTCCCCACCCTTCCCCCAAACCTCCCTGCTTCTCCCCTCAATCTCTTCCTCTGTAAAATGAAGCAGTTGGCTTGAGAAGCAGAATGGTGAAATGGAAAGAGCACTGAGTTTGGAGGCAGAGAATATGGGTTCAGAGCTTGACTCTGTTCTTTAATACCTGTGTGACTTTGGACAGGGCATTGAACCTCTCAAGACATCAGTTTCTTCTCGGTTCTTTTTGCACTTAAGCTCTTTTACCTTTCTTTGAATCTCCAGCTCTTTGCACCGTACCTGGAATACATTGGGTGCTTAATGCATGCTCATTGACTGACTGATGACCTACTATAAAAAGAGGGGGTTGGGTAGGAGGACCTCAGAGGTCCCTTTTAGCTCCAAACCAGTGTTCTCCTGACCCACTGCCCAGGGCATCTCAGAGATCTCCCAGTTCTAAGTCTTACAAACCCACAAAATACCACCTTAGAAGCTCTCATTCTTTGGGGTGGAAGGTCACTCTGAGAAAAGAGATAGATCCTCTGTATTGGTTTTTTCCTGTTTGGCAATTAACAAAGGAATTTCTTTTCGCAGAGGGTCATGAGGGGCCCCACGTATGAAATTACAATCCTGGGAAGAGACATACGTTACATTAAGGAAAATGAAAAGGGTTTGAAGCTAATCCAGGCTTCTTCAAGCAGAAAATACCAGTATGTGGTCAGTGAAAACACACCAGATCTGGGATCAGAGACCCCAGATTCTAAGCCTAGTTCTGCCACTTGTTAGCTGTGTAATCATGGACAAGCAATTCAATCTTTCTGTGCCTCAGTTTCTCCATCTCAGACACCAAAGCTGTGTGACTCTGAGCAAGTCACTTACCCTTTTTGTTCCTCAGTTTCTCCATCTGTAAAATGAAAAGATTGGACTGGATGTTACGCTTAGGGTTCCTTCCAGGTCTAATTTTGTGACCCTCTGAGCTATAACTTGAAGGGGCTGGCTGGAGTCAGTGACCTCCAAAGTCCTTTCTGGCCCTAAAATTCTGTTGGAAATTTAAAAAGAGAAGTGGTGTGTGTGTGCGTGTGCATGCATGCCTTTCTTTGTCTTTTTTCTTTTTAAGTAAACTCAGACACGCTGTTGCGATTTAGAATATTGTAGGCTAGGTTGTATTCCCAGCTATTCATCAATGAATGAAAATGACTTCTTTTGGGGCAGCGAGGCGGCTCAGTGGATAGAGCACTGGCCCCGGAGTCAGAAGGACCTGAGTTCAAATCCAGCCTCAGACGCTTGGCATTTACTAGCTGTGTGACCCTGGGCAAGTCACTTAACCCCAATTGCCTTGTAAAAAAAAAAGGAAAGAAAGAAAGAAAGAAAATGACTTCTTTTCCTACCTGGTTGGCCTCTTTACAACAATAAAGAAAATAAGCTTCCTGAGTGCAGGGACTGGGTTTTTAATTTGTTTATTTATTCAGCTTTTAATTTCCACCATCTAGCCTAGTTTATAGCCCATAATGAGTCCTTAAGAAATGTTTGTTGAATAGTAAAGTCACGTTTATACAGCTCTTTATAGGCATGCATGGGCAGATCAGTGTTGCAATGATAGAGCATTGGGCTTGAAATCAGGAAGACTCACTTTCCTGAGTTCAAATCTGGCCTCAGACACTTGGTAGCTGTGTGACCCTGGGCAAGTCACTTAACCCTGTGTGCCTGTTTCCTCATCTGCAAAATGAGCTGGAGAAGGAAATGGCAAACCACCCTAGTTGCTTTGCCAAGAAAATGCCATAACAAGGTCATGGAGAGTCAGACAGGACTGAGTCAACTAAACAACAAAAGGTATGTCCTGCTGTGAAGCCCAAGAGGTTGGTTTTACAGATGAAGGAAATGAAGCTCTGAAAGGTTGAACAATTTGCCCATGATCACATGACTAGCAAGCAAGAGGCAAGATTGGAACTCAGCTCTCTTGAGTCAAGACCAGCACATTTTCCATTCCTCCTATTATGGAGAATTCAGGCTGATCTCAGCGGAAGGTTTCGTACAATGAAGTCCACTTTCTTCTTGGCGTAACATTTCTCTACCCAATGTGATTTTTAAATGGCACTGCTGTTCATCAATCTCCATTTTCTTTTTCCCCAGAAACCTTCTGTCGGGGTGGGTTTGATTGACACTGTGGACAAAGTTCTGTGGCACATAGCTTACAATCTGCAAACGTACAAATTGGCTGTTACCATCCAGGGCTCATCTTCAGTAGCAGGTAAAGAGGATCTGATGCCAGCATTTAGTATTTGTATAAGGCCTAGAATGGGGAAGGGTGAACAGTGCAGAATGGAGGTCTGGAGGGGTATAAAGATGGATGCCAATCCCAGCTTCACTCCTCCCGATCAATAAACATTTAAGACATAAAACCACAGACTGTCCCAGCTGGAAAGGACATCAGAAGCTATCTAGTCCTCCATCTGATCAGTCAATAAACATTTATTAAGCACCTACTATGTTCCAGGTTAAGGAATTAAAAAAGAGGCAAATACAGTTCCTGCCTTTATAGAGCTTCTATTCTAATTGCAAAGGAGGAGGGGGAATGCATATATGTATGTATATATATATGTGCATGCACACACACACACACACACACATATATATTTATGTATATATATACAAATAACAATTTGTATAACAGTTCAGTCATTTTTCAGTTGTGTCTGACTCTTCTTGAACCTGTTTTGCGATTTTCTTGGCAAAGATACTGGAGTGGTTTGCCATTGCCTTCTCCAGCTCATTTTACAGCTGAGGAAACTGAGGCAAATGGGGTTAAATGACTTGCCCAGGATCACATAGCTAGTAAGTGTCTGAGGCCAGATTTGAACTCAAGAAGATGAGTCTTCCTGACTCCAGGCCCAACACTCTATTCACTGAACCACCTAGCTGCTATACCATCTCTACTCATGTAGATCTTAGCCGCTGGACACCTTAGTCAACAGGAAGTGTAGCTAACAACTTCATGGCCTGGGAGCCCGTGTTTGGATAATGGACTACTCCAAATTTAGGTAAGCTGGTCTTTGGATGACAGTCTATTTCTGGACCCAAGTTTTTTCAGCTTGATAGCACCTGCTAGGTCAGGATCATGCTATTAGCTTGCTTAGCCTTTTGAGAACCAAGGGTTACCTGATATCACAATGGGGTGCAATTAGGAGCCTACAGGAGATTTTCTGAAGCTATCTTGTTGTGTATGAAATGATGCTCTGAGGAACACGGCTAGAAACAGGACAGATGTATTCAAGTCAGTGGTGCATGAACAGGCCCATGTCAGCATTTTCCTGCAGCCTTGAAAGCTGAAATCACTTAATTGAAGCCACCTTCTCCATTCACAGCAAGAGAATAGAAGCAGCAGTGCCTGGAGATGGATAAAGGAATTGAGAATAAAAGAGTTGAGAACAAGATTTCATAGAATCAGCTGGAACTGTTTGGTGGCAATCTCTTTTTCTAAAGGAATAGTCAAATAAAACCAGATACACTATTGCCTTTCTATTTTAAAGACCTTTATCTCCCTAGATAGGGACATTCTGTCTCAGGCCCCTCTCCTTATGACTGGGGATAATGGGTACAATATAAGGTTAATTGTTCCATTACTCAGTTTCAATAGCTGTCTGTCTCTCAACATTTTTATATTAATGCAGTTGTTTATGTGGCCAATGAGTAAATGACCCCCCCATTCTCCTGTTAGTCATTGTCCCCTTATCTCTTATTCGGTCTCTTTGGGAGCCCCAAAAGGAGCAGACACCATGAATCTTCTGTAAGCTGCCCATGGGATGGTGCAAATTGTCCTCGGCAGCATCCTAAATGGGCCATTCTGAACTTTACAATGATTCCCAAGAGCAAAGGCTGTTGTGATAACTTTGGGGTCTCTGTGACACCCCAGTTAGTCTTCCGCAGGCACACTATTAAGTGACCTGCTTCAAAATGTCTCCCCCACATATTTTTTCCTTAAAGGAGTCATCTTCCAAAGGTAATTGTCCTCTCCAGGGAGATCATTCTATTTCCTCACAAAACAGCTGGGGTTTTACAATCGAGATTTACAGTAGCTGTTGAGAGAGCAAACTCCACTTTATGGGGGAATCGGGCAGTAAAGGTTATTGATTTTTATCTTCCTCTTGGCTGGTTTGTGCTTGCAGAGTATTCATTGGCCAAAGTGCCCCCAGAGACGATGACATCTCCTCACTACCGCTTTCCCACCCAGGGACAGAGCTATATTGAAATTCCTCGGGAGGCCTTCCATAGTAAAGGTAAGTCGTGACTGCATGAGGAAAGCCATGGCTGGGCAGACTCAGAGACTCTCCATCTCTTCTCTTCACGCTCATCTGAAAGGAAGAGGCTACACATTGTCAAACTTCCCTGGGCCTCCAGGGAAACTGCTTCCAAGAACCGATAGAAATTCTGTAATGATCAAAATGCTGATGACATGTTATTTTTCCTAATGCCAATTGGGGTCCTTTTGATGACACTTCTTTTATCATGGAAAGGGTATGAGGAATCAGAAAACCTGCATGCTAATTAACAGTAAATAACTGTGTGACTTTGGTCAAGCCACCTAATTTCTTTGTCTCAGTTTTCTTCTCAGTAAGGTGACGAAAAATAATCCTACCCCTGTCTACTTTATGAGGGAAAATTGCCTTATGTAGCATAGTGGAAAGCCTGCTGCTTTGGGAGTCTGAATCTAGGCTCTGACAGCTACAACCTGTGGGAATTTGGGAAAGTTACTTTTGCCTCTTGGCTTCCTTATTATCATCTTCATTTTACTGATGAGAAAAGTGAGTGAGGCTCAGACAGGTGATAGGACCTGCTAGTACATCTTAGAGGCAGAATTTGAAACTAGGTCTTCCTGGTTCTAAATCAAGTATTCCATCTTATATAGGATCAAAATAATAGGAAATGGACCGGGACTTCAGTGGTATACCACTTCATGTTCCAATTCATGTTGGTACCTTCTCTGAAACTTTCAAGAGAAATTTCTAAACCAATGAGAAGTCAGATGACACAAGTATGTGTCTGAGGTGGGATTTGAACCCAAGTCTTCTTGGCTTTGAGGTTCTCTATCTGATTTAGATCTGGGAAGGACCTTTGAGGTCATGTCATCCAACTCTTTCATTTAATAGATGGAAAAAAAAACAAAACTGAAACTTGGAGAGACAAGTTATGCCAGGTTCCTTTCCTAGCAATTACCAGAGGCCAAGCTGAACCAGGTCTACCTGACTTCAGTCTGGCCACCTAGCCTCTCCCCCATCTGCTGTTCTTCCTATGGTCATCATTCTCTGAAGCCTGAAAGGCATTTTACAGATTACGTGGGATATTAAAAGCATCTTTACGGAGATCCAGCCAATGGGATGAAGCTAAGAAGAGGGAACATGAATGAATGTCTCTGTAGCTTAGCTTGATTCACACTGAGACAGATGGACAGACAGACAGACAGACAGGCATGCAGAGTTTCTGCTATTTGCCAAGCTTCCACTCTCCAGAAAGAAGACTAATGAGCACTGTGGCTCAATAGTGATCAGGGTGTTTCCCCACCACATGCCGCCTACCTGATTTATTCTCATGGCTGAGCTCCCCTGAACTGGGAGGGGAGCTCAGGCCTGTGACTGTCATGTGTGCTGTGAAAGGGGAATAATTCAGATCATATGGAAATGGGTTTTGGGAAATGCCAAAAATAGCTTGTGAAAGATTCCTTTTTTTCCCTTTCCTCCTTGTGCCTCTGGAAGTTGGTCTTAGATGGTTATCCACATGGAGAATGCACTTATGATAACTTGAAGGACCTGGCCTGCTTCCCAAAACTTTACCATGAGGCCCAAGTCAAAGTGAAGAAAAAAATGCCCAGAGCCAATTGAGGGTTTGTCCCCCTGACTCACCTCTGCTAAACCATCGGCAAGATATTATTTCACTTTTCAAAGAATGACATCAGGAAGAGTTGGAATCTAGTGGAAACCATAAAGGATATTTGCACGTTGGATGCTACTTGTAAAACTTGCATCTGTCTCTTTGCTCACAAGCTTGAAGAACTATAAATACTCCATATGTAGACAGCAAGTAAAGAACAGAAATGAAAATTCATACAGACAGAAATGTAGGTGTGTGCACGTGTGTGCACGCGCGCACACACACACACACACACACACACACACACACACACACACACCCTCTTAGCAAAGGGAGGAGCTTTTAAAAGTCAGCTAAAGATTGCAAGGGCAGGCAGTCTCAGACCCTTACTAGCTGTGGGACCCTGGGCAAGTCAGAATCAAACCTCTGATGTGCCCTGCTTGACCCCATAGCCAGCACACTGTCCTGGGCAGGCCAATGCTAACAATTCTGTGACTAATTCCACCACTGAGCTCTAAGCAGTGCTGAGTCACTAGTCTGGGTTGCAAGCTTAATTCACTGCCCACCTCCAGATTTTCTTCTGGGGTCTGGTCTTCCTTCGTGTATCTTCATGTGAACTCACCCTTCACGAGGAGGATGTCTGAAGGGCCCTGTTATTTAATTAGCGAGTCTGCGACCTTTTCAGTGCATGTTATGCCTTCCTCCCATTTGTCCCCTTAAAGGCTAACTGTTGGTCACTTTGCTTTTTCTCAGCCTGGACTACCATCGTTGGCCTCCTCTACCACACAATGCACTGTTGTTTCAACAAAATCCAGCCTACTGACACAAAGTAAGTCTTCCAGGAATGTATTTCTGTGGCCTGAAGGGAGAGGGGATCAGGGTACAGGAAGCATGTACATACTTCTTGTGGATAATTTGGGCTCCCAAAGCCTTGTGCTTCACTGTTAGTGACAGGGAGATGATTAACAGAAGTAGGTAAGTATCTCAGTGCTTTAAAGAAAAGAAAAGAAAAGAAACACAAACTGTGGTCCTCTGAGGATTGCGCAAGGCCTTATGTGTAAATCATTACATTTTACCTTTGAGCCAGACTGAATAATTTATTATCATCTGTCAGAGGCAATGGAATTAGGACACTTTCTGACAGCCATAAAGGAATAATAGGATAACTACAAGCTTCTTATCCGTCATCTTGTTCTTTATGAAAGTATCCTTGTCCTCAGCCTCTCTGGCAAGAATTGCTGTGAGAGAGTTTCTGGGTATGAGTGGGGAGATCCAGGGCAGGGGAAGGCTTTCCTGCACATTCAAAGGCACCAAGACAACTGATGTAGGTCTCCTGGCTTTGCAAACTGGCTATTTGTGCAGAACCTTTAAACCACCTGAAAAGGAAGGATGCATGCTCCCTTGAGATCTAGGTGCTACCCTACCAGAGACTAATTTTTAGAAAGTGATGATTTCAACACCTGAAGCCCAGAGTCATTACTTTCTTGGGTGGTGCTAATCTCAAGGAAAACATGATTTTGTCTGATTTCTGGCTCATGGGTGGCCTTGATTTAACCTCCAATGGACACCAGTCACAATGAAGCTTCCTTGATGGAAAGTATTGTTTCTTTTCTGTCATTGTATGCCCAGTGCCTGGCATAGTGTCTGGCACATAGCAGGCAAACAACAAATGTTTGTTCACTGGCTAAGTGGAGGATGCTACATTCAAAGTACGTGCAGTGCTTCTGTGACCACATCAAAATGGCAACATTCCCTTGAATTGCACAAGTCGCACAGATTTATCCATTGCCTCACCATCTTGGACATCTCTTGTCTACATCCTTCCATAAATTCTCCAATCAATGTACTATGACTCCTTTGCTTTCTCTGGTCATTGTGAGAATATCAGTGATGTGTTGGTAAATGTTTAACAATTAGCTCTGAAAAAAGTACACCAGACACACTTTTAATTTAACCTGCATTATTAATGTTTTCTCCATCACTTTCTTACATCGAGACAATTAGCAAAACAATAAATCAAACCCCAATGTATGGGATTTGACAATTTCCGAGGTGTAAATGCTCACGCTGAAAACTGAACAATCAGTTCTAACTAGCTGGTTTGAAATGACTTGGAAATATTCTTCATGTCAGGAGAACATAAGGGCTATCCATCTTTTATTCTTTGCTATCTCTGTTTGACCAGTACATCATGCTGATTTTTTGTTTTTGTGGGGAGGAATACAAGCATGTTATTTTTCAAGTGTGAGGATCTCTTGTCGGGGACTCTTTCCACTAATTCAGACCACTGCCCGTCTATCACTTGGTACATAGGAATTAATCTAGAGCTGGAAAGGATCTCAGATAAGTCTTAGGGAGTGGCCTGGGGCATTTAGAGGTTATGAGTTTGCCCAACGACCCACAACTAGTTAGCCAGAAGCAGGATTGAAATCCAATTCTTCTTGCTCCAAGCTCAGGGCTTTATCCACTATACTATGCTATCTCTTGGCAGCAATAAGACACAAATATGACTGTAAATCTAGAAGTAGTCTATTTGGGCAATGAAGAGGTCAGCAACCTTATTGATCTTATTTCTCCCTCAAGCCAAGGCTGGCTCAATACTGGGGCATACACATTTCCACTTCAGCACCTGGGAGAGGGAGAAGGCTGAGGAACATTTGAGTACCTAGTTAGCTCATTCTTCAAGGGCATCAGAGGGATAACTTGTCCAAACAGATGCCCCTGCCCAAAGGTCTGGGAAAAGCTTCTCTGAACAAAAAAATGAAAAATTGCATTCAGCTCTGTCTTTGTCTTAGGAGAACTCATAGACTACATTTATTATTAGTAGTATTAATATTACTGCTAATATTATTAACAATATTTATATTAATAGCTAATAAGTTCTGTTTCCAGAGTGGTTTAAGGTTTACAAAGTTCTCTTCTTTACAATAACCCCATGAGGGATGTAAGATGAATATGATTATATCCATGTTATAGAAGAAGAAACTGAGGCTATGAGAATTTGAGTGACTTGCCTACCAGTCAATCAATAAACATTTGTGAAGTGGCTACTATGTGCCAGGCACTGTGCTAGGTGCTGGGGATACAAAGAAAGGTGAAAATAGTCTCGACTCCTCAAGGAGCTCATAATTGGATAGGGGAGACAACATGTAAACAATTGTACACTAATGAAAGATATGAAGCACTCGAGTCAGGGGTCAAACTTAGGTTTCCTGATTCTAGGTTCAGTACTCTAGCCATTACACAACAGTGCCTCTCTAGTCATGAGTCATATGAGACAGCATGGGGTGGCTTAAGGCTTGGAGTCAGGAAAATCTGCGTTGGAATCCTGCTCAGTCACTTAGACACTCCAAAGCTCAGTTTTCTCCTCTGTAAAATGGAAATTATAGGAGCACCTACCTCCAAGGGTGTTGTGAGTCTTAAATGGGACATCATATGTAAAGTATTATACATATGCCAGTTGTTATTATATTGTTATTATATATTAAAATCACTGGGACAATACAGTCATATGTGACACCATAGTGTTCAAGAATTCATGAGAAACTAACTTTTATGGGCTAGGATAGTCAGGACTGAAGCTGTTTCTAGTCTGGCAGTGAAACCCCAAATGTATTTTTTGCAGGAAATGTGGAAGATTATATTACTTCCACAAATAGGCTAGATTATCTGTCTTGGCCCCGGAGACCACACCTGGGTTTTAGCAAATAATTCAGCGTGTTCACAGAAGAGCATAATTCTCATTGGAGTCTTTCTAAATTGTCAGATGTTTCCCTTCATCAATACATGGAAGAGAGTCCGAGTGGCTTAGGCTGATTGCAGACTAAGCCTTCTGAAACATTCATGGTCTCTGAGAACATCAAAGATCGAAAGGACCATCAAGTCCTGTCCTATCTCACCCCTCATTTTTCAGATGAGGAAAATCTGACCCTGGAGAAAGGAAAGGATTTATCCATGGGCATATTTGATGTCTTTTTTCCTCTGTACCTTATGGAATGATAGACCTAGAGATGTATATAACACAGAACAGAATATCATAAGAGAATAACATTAAACTCTAGATTGCCACTGTTCATTGAGAAATCCAGGACCAACTATTTGAAGCATGGCTGGAAGGTCTTTAAAAAGTATTACCCTTTTCCTTTCATTTCATGAGTTTTATCTTTAAAATATCCTTGTGCCTCATAGATACAGTCACTTAGAAGAGTGCAAGAATATTCAGAACCTTCTAGGCCAGCCTTAGTTTTGTGTCTCTCTTTCCAGCTTTTTGACATGTCTGTTTTAGGGTCCAGAACCACAGAGAGCTCCCTGTGCAACCACATTTTGAAAAAAAGATGCCTCCTCATTTTTTCCTCATTGGAGTCTTTCCTAGTGTCATAGAGCTGAAAAGACTTTGAGAAAGCATCTGGTCCAACTCTGTCATTGTATAGCTGAGAAACCAGAGTCCATTGGAGTTTAGGGGATTTGTCCAAGATTGTACAATGAATCAGCATGAAAGGCAGAACCAGAACCCAAGTGCCCTGAATTCTTCGCCATTGCTCTTTGCATCACACCGTGTTATGAACTGTAACACATGATGGATGACCTCTTAAAACTTTTTCATAGACGTAACATCCAAAGTAAGCATTAGTGAATAATCAAAGAAAATATGGCAAGAATTGATTCTCCTTCACTAGAGGTCTTCAAACCTTTGAGCGAATGGCCACTTCTTTGGGATCTGGCAGTGGAGATTTGTACTGAGGTGGGCGTTAGGCTGGATAGCCTCGGCCGTGCCTTTATTCTGGGATGATGACCCCAAGGATTACAATTAATCTCACAAATTAAAATTAAAATCTCAGTTATCTTTGCAAATGATGGGAAATAGAGCCATAGGAAACCAAACAGTGGCTAATATAGAGGGCATTTAGCAACTGCTTGACTTTCAGAAAGTAAGATGCCCTTTTCTATAGCAAATTGAAAATTAAGTTTTGATTAAGCTAATATTAAATTATTTCACATTCCCCAAACACATAGCAATCAGCAGTTTTGGGAGGTAGGGTCCAAAACCATCAATCATACTACCACTGAGCATTTGTTAGGCACGTACCATGTGCCAAGTCTATGCTGGGATATAAAGACAGATGTGATTTTGTCCCTGCCTTCAAAGAGCTTATTTGTTAGAAAATGGAGGCAGTAACATGTACTTGAGTGACTGTATCTAAAACAGGTAGAATATAAACTTGTTAGGGGAAGGCATTAGCAGATGGGGGAACCAGGAAAGGCTTCATGCATAAGCTGACACTCGAGTTGAGTCCTGAAAGTGAATAAGATGTGGAGGTGAGGAGGAAAGGCATTCTTGGCATGGGGTTGCCAGTGCAAAGATATGGATATGGGAGATGAAGTATTGTACGTGATGAATGTCAAGAAGCTCACTTTGACAAGCTGGCTATCGAGTGCCTGGGGGGAAGTTATCTGATAAGGTTGGAAAAGTAGGATAGGGCCAGATTGTGAAGAGCTTTAAAAGTGGCAGACAGAGGAGTTTATAATATTTGGTCCTGGAAGTAGTCAAGAATCAGTGGAGTTTATTAAAAAGGGATGGGGAGTTTGACACATTCTAGGAAAATCTCTTTGGTGACTGTGTGCAGGATGGGCTGGAGGGGGAGACGAGTCAGGGGGACCAGTTAGGAGATTATTACAATAATCCAGGTGAGGAGGGATGAATGAGGGCCTGACGGTGGAATTGCTGTGTGAGTGGAGAGAAGGGGACATATGGGAAAGGTGTTGTGAAGATGGAAATGGCAAGATCTGGCACGTGATTGGATATATGGAGCGGGTGTGAATGGGTATCCA